AATCCTAGAATTTTACTTACTTTAAGGCATGTATAAAAAAAATTATCATAGCAAAATCATGAAGAGATGTGCTGATTAGTTTTTGGCAAAGGCAAATTCAGCCGTTTCGGAGATACGGAGCAAAAAGTGCAAAAATTAGAAATCGAGTTTTTGAAAGAACGGAGCATCCGATTTGAATGATTCAAAAAGCATTCAATTTGTAATGATCGGAAGAAGTGCTGAATAATTTTTGGCAAAGGCAGGTCTAGCCATTTCGGAGACACAGAGCTAAATGTACAAAAAATTGCAGATTTTGAGGGAACTAAGCATCCGATTTGAATGATTAAAAACTGCTTGTGTTGACAAAACGATCGCTTTTGAGAAAAAAAATATAATTTTCAATAATAATTTTTTTTTTAATAATTCTAATTTTAATTTTAATTTTGCTAAAGCTCTAAAGCTCACTTATATGCTTCAAGTAAATAACATTACATTTGCAATTCAGTTTATATAATTCTTATAAATATTAGACAATGTCCTTCGTTTTAAAGTCTTTTGATTTAATTTTGTTTATTTACTTTTTTGTAAACAAATATAAGTAACAGTATTTATAATAATCTATTTGAAAACATTTAATATTCCTCGAATATTTCATTAAGGTACGGGAAGTTCCAGCAATTTGCTTTAAGGCACGATGCCATACATCCCTAGTTTTATTTTATTTTTACCGTTTCGTTTTATATTGAATTTACTGCATTTTTCATATTTACATATTTCTTGTACCTTACAACAATTTTGTACCCAAGACTATTACCAGTTTTGATTAACAAGATAAATTGTTACAATTTTTAGTGAATATTGTAAATTTTATATCGAAAAAACAACTATTGAGTTGTTTTTTCCAACAAGTCAAAGTAGTATACAATGTACCTTTTCGGCGGACTATTGTAAATCCATTAAATTTACTGAATGTCCTATACTGGACAGTTGTAAATAAAAAGAGTTAATAAAAAAAAAAAAAAAAAAAAAAAAAAAAAAAAAAAAAAATTTAACGAAATTTATTAATTTCGCATTTACACGAAATTATAAACACAAAACTATAATTTGCTTTTATATCTATAATAAAATTTTCATTGTTTTAATATCAAAATACAACACTACAAAATGCATGTTACAGTTACGAATTCTCATTATAAATGTAGATGGAAACTCCCTGTTTTATGATCAAAACTAAATTTTTTGTGTGCATAAACTAATTTGTTTGAAATATTAAAACACTTCGGTGCAAAACGGGAGATAAGTATATTTTTTCTACTATAAACAAATCTTAAAAACTCCAACAAGTACATTCTTTTCAATTCCATCCATCGACTAAACTAAATTCAAATTACAATAACACAATTGTTCATTCATGCAATAAAAATACTCAGCAAAACAAAGGAGTCCCTATTACACAATTTCCACAATTTCAATGTATGTACGTGTATGTATAATAATCATCTAATGTTAATAAAATTTACACTTTTTATCCTCTCACTTATTTTTGCAACTGACTAACTAATTTATGTGCGATATGTAACACCCATTTACATTTATTTAATGCTTCGACTATTTTGAATAGAAAAATAGTTTCACTTGGATAATTGAAATTTTCGAAGAATAAAAAAAATGGAGTAAAAATTGTAAAAGATGTTATAATATTGTATTATATTCAAGTGAAAGGGTGTCCATTAGACGTGAGTCTTAATAAAAAAAAGGGGGGATGATAAAAAAAATCACAAAATATCACTTGGGGTAGGGGAGGGTCTAGTAAGATATCACTTTATTAGATTATTTTTTACCTAAATTTCTAACAACGAGAGACAGGGTAAAATGCTATTGATAGAGTTTTTTTTGACTATTTCGCTGGCGATACAGTCTCATTCTAGCATTTTGTATGTGCCTTCCATATATTGCAATCAACATGTGATTTTAAAAAAAGAATTACAAACTAGTGGGGTGCATGGCATCGTGCCTTAAGGCAAATTGCTGGAACTTTCCGTACCAATTTTTTTTTTTAAAGATTAACATTTTTGAAAAAAAAATTAATCTAAAAAATTAGATTTTTGAGAAACTATAAATTTTTGACAATAATTTACTTTTTTTGAAAAAAAAAGACTTATTGAAGAAAGATTTATTTTGAAATATTTTGAAAATTTCGAACTTTTTTTCAAAGCAATCGTACTGCTTTAACTGCATAAAGACGAAATATCGAAGCGCGTAAGCGCCGCGTCGGCCTCTAACGAATAAACATTGGTACGGAACCCATAGGAATGTAAACAAAATTTATAATCATTGTTAAAATCTCTATAAAATATCTGATAATTTGATGTGCATATGTCTAATGATCATTTTAGACCGCCTTTTACTAGATCTCCGAAACCGCTAGACCTGCCTTCATGAAAATTTGATCAGTTCTTCATCTTGTTAATACAAGCAAAATGTTTTTTGAATTATTCAAATCGGATGCTCCGTTCTCTTAAAAACTGAGTTACCGTTTTTGGCACTTTTTGCCCCATATCTTCGGAATGGCTAGACTTGCCGTCGCCAAAAACTAATCAGCACATCTCCTTATCAATACGAATCGAATGTTTTTTGAATTATTCAAATCGGTTGATTGGTGTTCCCGAAATCGTCGACGAAAATTTGTATCCGCACACACACACATACACGCACACATACGTATACACACACATACATCCATTTTTTCTAAGATATGCCAAAATATTCAGAAACCTTTGAAACGTAAAGTTATATAAAAATTTTCATTTTCGATTTTTTTGCGATTACTATAACTTGCCCTACCCGAAGTTAAAAATATCCTTGATTAATGCACAAATGCAATCGAACAACATCCTGATTATGAAAACAGAAAAATCTTGATTAATAATAATAATAAAATGTCTAATTTTAATAGTCCTCATAAATTTTAAAACCTAAACTCATACTTTTTATATGTAAAATAAATAAAAAATGAAAAAATTTTGAACTATTGGTTTTTTTATACCACAACTCACTTAATGAAATATTATAGGATAATAAAAATACTTATCAAACATCTTTGATCAATAATTCTATTTGCACGAGAAACCTTATTATCACGAGAAAGCTTTTCAAGTCCTATTTTATTTCTAAAGCAATGCAATATGTAATTTTAGAGACAAAATTATAAAAATATTCATAATACAGCTTGAGCTTGAATGTATAATTGCAATCGAACAACAACCCGACTATGAATAAATAAATAAATTTTGTTTAATAATATAGTAATAAAGCACATTTGATATAATGATTTGAGGCTCAAATAAGATATCTAATTTTAATAGTGTTTATAAATTTTAAAAATTTAACTCTTACTTTTTATATCAGCAAAGTGAAATTTAGTCAAATATTGAATTTTTCAACCACAAATTTCACAAATTAAAGCCAAAACACCTAGAATGTTAAATCTGGCCATGGTTTATGACAACAAAAATTGTTATCGAGTATACATTTCTATTTAATATCTTCTGCAAAAAGGAGCAAAATAAATTCTTCGACATGAAAAAATGCAGTTGTGAAGGAAAGAAATTACAAACATTCTTTATATCAGCATCAGTATCACGAGAACTATTTTGGAGCCCTATTGAATATAAATTTATGACTACAATAATGCAATATGGAATTTTAGAAACCACAATACAGCTTGATCTATATAAAATTGTAATCGAACAACAATCTGAATAAAATCTAGATAAATGAATCAAAAATGAAGTTATTAAGCAACTAAGGGTACTATATTTTAACAATATATATAAGTCTTAAAAATGTGACTTATTTTTGATATATAGATGTAATCTATAAAATAAAATTCAGGCAAATATTGAATTTTTAACCACAAATTATACAATTAAAGCCAAAACAGCCAGAATATTAAATCTGAGTACAGTTTATGACAGCAAAAATTGTTATCTAATATAAATTTTTAAAATTAAGTGAGCAAAATAAAGCCTTTGACATGAAAAAATGCAGTTCGAAAGCAATCTAACTACAAATATCTTCTGTATCACAAGAACTATTATCGAGCCCTTTTGTATATATATTTATGACTGATAAAATAATAGTAAAGCTATTAAGCAACTTGAATGCAATATTTTAATAATATTTATTATTAAGTCTTAAAAATGTGACTTACTTTTTATATGTAGATGTGAGCAATAAAGTGAAATTTAGCCAAATATTGAATTTTTTAACCACAAATTACACAATTAAAGCCAAAACACCCAGAGTATTAAATCTGACCACAGTTTATATCAACAATTGTTATCGAGCATAACTTAACCAATTTTTCTATCTAATATCCTCTGCAATAAAGAGCAAAATAAATCCTTCGACATGAAAAAATGTAGTTCTAAAGCAATCTAAATAGTATCATGAGAACTATTATCGAATCCATTTTATATATTTTTATGACTAATATAATGCAATATGGAATTTTGGAAACCACGACACAGCTTGATCAATACAATTGTAATCAAACAAACAACAATCTAATTGTGAATCCTGAGCTTAAAAAAGAACTTAAAAAACAAAAGCCTGTGCTCAAAATAGTAATAGGGCTTCTAAGCAACCAGGATACCATATTTTAATAATATTTATAGATTTTAAAAATGTAACTTTTACTTTTCATATGTAGTGGTAATCAACAAAGTGAAATTTCACCAAATATTGATTTTTGAAACCACAAATTATATGAATCAATACAAAGCCTTCAGGACATTAAATCTGACTATATTTTGCAAAAATATTATTTGCTAGAAAAATTTTTCTATTACAAATAAAACCCAAGTCTTTCACCGCCCTTTTCCACATATTGCCTAACGTCAAAAACTGAGTCCATCAACCCCACATCCACAAATTACAACAAAATCTCCTTTATTTTAACAAACTCTTTAATATCCCTCTGACCCAGTTCGCCCCCAAAAATCGATTTTCCTTCATACCTGTGAATTACTGTTAGAATCCTCCATCATCTTGTCAGTTTCCATTCTCATCATTGTACAACACGAAAGCACTCGCGGGCACGGCCCCCTCGATCTTTAAGGATAATATTTCACGATAATGGGGCATATAGACGAACATTAAATAATAGTTTGGTACGATTTCAAGGATTAAATCAAACACAAAGCAACATGATCGTGATATCACATCTTTCTACGACAGAAGGTTTTCGAGTGCGCGGCCATTTTGACTTTTGTGAAGATGTTAAAGGTGAAGTGGACGGTGGAAATTGGGCGCTTAATTTGAAAACGAAATTGTAATAAATAGTATTTAAACATTTAAAATGGCATATAATATTATTAATTTGTTAATAACTTATTATATTGCACTTATCTATTCTTTTATCATACTAACAAATACTCAGAAAGTATTTTTTATTTAAATTATCCCCCGTAACCGCAACTCTTGACAGCTTTCCAATGTGAAGTCAGCAACAGTTTGCAGTTCGTATTTTTAGCTCGAATTTCAAAACATTTCGAAACATACAGATTAAATTACATTTGCCAAATAATGTTTGTAAACAAAACTGCTTTAGTATTGTACCAAAAATAACTCCACAACTTTTGTCCCTGCATTGATTAAAATAGTTTCCTTAGGTTAATGACCAGCATACATCAAGACATGTTAAAATAAGGTATGTCATAAAACTAATGAAATCTCTTGTGCATCTGGTTAGTCTTTAGAATCTAAAGCAAAAAGCATATTTTCTTGTCCTGGGGCACAATTTTTCATCACCAGCTGTGTAAATATCTTATTAGAACCACATCAAAGACTTCTTGCAACCTAACCTTCACTCATCTTTTGAATTAATGTTACTACTGTAATAAAATTTAAATTTAATTATTTTCTTCATTTCTTCAAATTCCTCTATGTATATATATAAAATAAATTTATTTCTTATCATTACAAACAATTCTCAACAATCACTGAGCTTACTAATGTCTTCATAAGGAATATCATCGACTTTTCGGCCTTTCAAAGGACCTGACATCAATTCAACAGAAACACTGAATTTTCTTTCGTTTAGTGAAGTTAAAATAGCTTTGTTTCCTGCATAGCCTCCGTTTAAAATTAAAACTGGCTTTCCTATCGCTGGAATTACTGTTTCTAGATGAGCCTAATAAAAGACATAGATTAAGAAAAAATAAAGCATATAAATATAAATATAAAATAGTTAAACATATAAATTTGAAGAGAAGTAGCAGTTTGAGTCAAATAATCACCTGATCTAATTTTAAGCTATCTGCAGTATCAAGCATTTTTACTTTTGCTGAATATTTATCTATAAGTTTCACAACAACACCTTTTTTTCTATAATATTTCTCTCCAAGACTTTCAGTAACAACCTACAAATACAGAAATATTAAAATAAATACATAATATTACTACATATTACACTTAGTACTTTTATAATTAAAATATTATTTGATAAAATAAATATGTAATATTACATATACTTGGAAAAATACTTTAAACTCTTTAAAACCTTTATAATTAAAATATTATGTATAATGCAAGTACTAATATCAATCTTGAAAATTTTCTAATATTTTTCATGATACATTTATTTTTACCCAATTTGTCAATATAAAGACAACAAGAAGAGTAATAAATGCTATGTGCACACACCGAAAGCAAAATTGAAGGAATTTATAACTTATAATACACAAATAAATAAATAAATCAATTATTATTCAACATTTGTTTAATTTTAATACTAATTACTTTACTACCTTAACAATTATGTCTTCAGCAAGCCAATGATCTTTCCGTATCCGTTTCTTTCTTGATTCTTCCATTTTTATAATTTCATCTAAAGCTGATAATCGTTTAGAACTTGATGGTTCATCTTTAACTGATTTTGCCCGTTTTCTTGAAAATTCTGATGTAGTCAATAATGCTTTTGATAAAGGTTTTATCTCTGCAAACATAAATACCTTAATTAATACAACAAATTATTATTATTTATATATGTATGCATATATAATTATGTTTATAACACAAACCTACTGGTTCAGTTTTGCGTTTTTCTGCTAAATTCAAATTTAAACTAAGTTTGTCTCCTTCATCTCTTTTTAATTCAGTATAAACTACTTCGTCTGTGCTTTTTGCTTGTTTCTTGCCTCTTTTAATTTGTTTAGCCAAAAAGTCTCTTTCACGATCCTAAAACAACAAAAATTTAGTAAACATACACATATATTATATTATTTTTATTACTTACTTCGTCATCCTTGTCCATTTTCTCTTTCTTAGCCAAAGCCTCCTGCATAGCTATCGTCTCCGGATCCCTATCAATATACGTAATAAACCATCCTTTCTCAGTCTCATCAACAACGCAATGTCCTTCCCTCCCCAACCACTTGACAAACCCCGTCAATGTCAACCACTTTGTAGCATTCATGTGCAAATGATTCCTATCAGATATATAATCCTGATACACTTTATTAGCAGCCACTCGTTTAGTTCCAAATTGTCTTCTCAGAAGTTCTAAGAAGCCGTCAGAGAATTCTTTTGAAAATTGATCTAGGTACATGTGTGAGTTATCAGCAAAGATTAAAAGTTGTCTTTGATGGGATTCGGACATTGTGTGGCATTTGAAACCGTTTTCATCTCTGCATTGTTTCTGACACATTTGGCAGTACCATCGGAGCTTCTGGAGGCCTTTGGCCTTCATTTTGTTGGCTATGTACTTGGGGGTACCTACTTCTGCTTTACCCATGGTTGATAATATATGTAGACTTTAGGGTAAAGGATATATTAATTGTACAACATAAATACCCAAACAACCAAATATCAAAGATTATTCAGTTCCTTATATTTATATAAATATATTTATAAGTATATTCCTTGTGGTTTAGAAACTAGACATTAATTGTGATTAAAATGTGAATTTTAATAATAATTTTTATTGTTTGTTGACAGTTTGCATTTTGACATTTCTCAACTAATGTTAAGTTAGCTGCATGTCGTGAGCTATGTGCGCGAAATTTGAAATATTTAAAATAATTATGTATATCTAATGTAAAACAGTACGTTACTAATTAAATTTGAGGCAAAATGTATTATAAATACCTTTATTTAGTTCAAATATGCCTTAATAATATATTTAATACAAATACTTTAATTTGTTAAAACAACCCAGATTTGTATGTGATTTCATACACTTTTTAACAATCTATTCATTTACTCATTTTTTAATATCAAATTATTTATAAAACACTTTAAATATACTTTTAATTATAACATATAACTACATTTACATAACATATAAATACATTTATTATAATTTTTATATATGTAATTATATAAATGTAAAATTCAAAAACCCCGCCATATTTTTATCTCAAGATGTCTGCGCTGTTATGTCAAATCATTACTGTCAATGTCAAATGTTAAGTCGATATTTCTTTGAATTAAATTATATACATTCATAATGAATAATTATTGATTAGTTAATTTATTAATTATAATTAGTGTGTAAAATGTGTGGTGTAGTTTAAAAATATTGTTATAATAAAGAGTGATGGAAAAGGTGCGATGTAATAAAAATATATTTAAATGTTTGTTATTTTATTTACTAAAATTTATAAATATAGAAATTTATTTTCCTTCACTAATGCTCCATTGTATTAAAATTGTAAAATATATATATATTTAGACATTACAACAGAACACACAAATAAACATATATAATATTTATTAAGTTATCAAAACTTTATACTGTTTTGAGTTTGAGCTAGAAATGCACCATGGAGCAATATTTTTTAATTAATTAAGAATACCCAATTTTGATAGTATATTCCACTAAATAAAGGCTATGATGTTAGACGAAACGTATGGGTTTTAAACCCATAAGTCACTTTTTTAAAAATGCATTCATACTATTTTTTATTGATGTAACGACTGATCTTTAAACCTATCTAATATATATATATATATATATATATATATATATATATCTTAGATGTAATCTTATATGTCCTTTCAGAAAAACTCTGAAAGAGAAAGAAAAAGACTACATCTGAAATTGACAAAACTCAAAAAAAACTTCTCGATTCAAAAACTTCAATCAAAAAAACATCAACCGGTACAAGCAAAACCCAATTGTTTGATTCCTCCACAAATAATGTCGACAAAACAAGTATCAACAAAAAATCCACATCACAAAAGGAGAAAACAACAACAGATCTGCAAAAAAAGGAAAAAGTTAGTAAATCTATTATACAAAACGGTTCTAAAACAAGACTCGATAAAGATAAAGATAAAGATGTTTCTAAAACAAAGGTAGAAGGTAAGAAAATTGATACAAGTAAAATTAAAAACGTGCAAGCAGATAAAAAGTATGCAAAAGTACCAATAAACTCAAAAGAAAACTCTTTCGTTGATCAAGTGCCTTATAATGCAACAAAAACTAAGTTAGTTAAACCTAAAGTCGATGATAAAACAGGTTTAGATAAAAAGAAACGTATCGTAGCTGATAGATTGAAAAATGGTGATGCAAAAGTCAGTTCGTCGAAGAAAAAAGATAGAGTTATGGCTACTCATACAAATGTTACTGTACAGTCGCCTGTTCATTCGAAACAGAACTCTTTGGTTGAAGATTTGTCACAAAATTATAATGAAGTGTCTTCTATGTATAAATCGACACCAGAAGCTTTTGGTGACAACATAAAAGTGTCTTCTAAGACAAAATCAAGACCAGAAGATCTTGGAGACAACATAAAAGTGTCTTCTAAGACAAAATCGATACCAGAAGCCTTTGGAGACAATATAAAAGTATCTTCTAAGTCAAAATCGTCCTCAGATAACACAGAAGTGCCTTCTTCTTCAAAACCAACACCAGAATCTCTCCGTACCAACACCGAAGAGTCTTCTATCTCTGCACCTAAAAAACTGAAGCGTGAAAAAACCTTGATCCTGGAAACAAACGAAATAAAAATCCTTAAAAATATTAGCTATACCATCGACTTGGACAACCCCGATGCGGAAATATCTTTAACAAATTATCCAAACGATGACGAAAATTACGACTACGAGGACGATTTTGAAAGTTACGAATCAGATTTCGAATCTTGTAGTTCTAGTTCACCAGAAAACCAGGAAGAAGACACATCTGGGAGTGACCAGGAGGAAGATAACGAAAATTTATCATCTAATAACGATTTAGATAGTTCTAAGGATATGGCAGCTAATAAAGATGGTACTTTTAAAGATTCTGGTGCATCAAAAGTTTTTACCCAAGACGAGGAACGTAAATTGGATTCTGGTAACTTTGATTTGCCTTCTAAACCGACTTTAAGTTCACCACCTACGTTAACAGACATCAATGAAACCGACAACGTGGTTGATGAAGGATTTGCTGAACAATCCAATCCAAAAAGTGATCTTTTAACTGAAGAATCATCATTAGGTGATGATATTGTTGTCCATTACGTCGAGATGCAACCTTTAACTTACAAAGAATTCATGGACAATAGTCTTCACCAGGAATCGCTACAAATACAAGAAAATCAAGATATGAACATCGATGACCTTTACCCCATACCTCGGTACATCACCGAAACTGATAACGCCTTAAATCGGGACTTCCCCGTAGACTTTCCCAAACTGAATACTTTCCTAAGAAAAGCCGCAAAAGAAGTTCTGTCTTGTTTAGAAGAACAGTTGCAGCCGAAATTGAAGCACAATAAAGAAAACCTGGATTTTAGCGAAGGATATTATAAAATGCACCAAGATTTATTCAAAGGAATTCCTGCCAGTTGTTTGTGTTTTCAAAACAACAAAAAATTTTTGGCAGCAGCTTTTAATGAAGTCAATTTGAAAAACGAGAGGCGCAATGCTTTGGATTTGGGTTCTGGGGATGATATTGATATAAGGTAAATAATAGTAATATAATATATAAACTAGTGGTGTATGGCATCGTGCCTTAAGGCAAATTGCTGGATCGTAACAAAATGTTGGAATATTAAATGTTTTCAAATTATTATAAATACTGTAACATTTACTAATATTTCTAAATGATATAAACTGATTACAAAGTAAAAAATTATTTATTTAAAGTATATCAGTGAGCTTTAGAACTTTAGCCAGAAATAAAATTAAAATCTTTATTATTTTCAATACAAATAAAAATTTGTTGAAAAAAAAACAGTAATACATTTTTTTTTCTAAAAGCAATTGTTTTGTCAACACAAACAGAAAGTTTTTTGGAACATTCAAATCGGACGCTTAGTTCCCTCAAAAACTGCCATTTTTTGCACATTTAGCTCTGTATCTCCGAAACCGCAGGACCTGCCTTTGCCAAAAACTAATAACCACTTCTCACAATCATTACAAATTAAATGTTTTTTAGATCATTCAAATCGGATGCTCCGTTCTCTCAAAAACTCGATTTCTATTTCTACACTCTTTGCTCTGTATCTCCGTAACGGCTGCACCTGCCTTTGCCAAAAACAAATCAGCACATCTTCCTATCAATTGTGCGTCCGAAAACGTGGACTAAAAATCGTATTCATACATACATTCATACACACACACATCCATTTTTTCTGTGGTATGCCAAAATGTTCAGAAACCCTGAAACGTAAAGATATGCAAAAATTTTCTATCTCTATTTTTTGGACGATTACAATAACTTACCCTACGGGAAGTTAAATAATAAATAAACTAATTAATTTATTAAAATATTATAATGAAATGAATTACAGATATTATAAATATGTTTGAAAGATTTATTTAGAAATTATTTCTGTTTTCAAGTTAGTTTATTATTGCTTTAATTTAAATATTTGATTTTATAATAAACTTATAGGGATATAAAATAAATAATATGCATCATTATAAAGAAATTCAAGGGCGAATCAAAATTAAATAAATAATATTAAAAAAAAATTAATTAGGGTCCGCCAGATTTTTTTTTGAAAACGCTGTGAAAAACTACTGAATATTTTCTCAAATTTTTAACTTCCCGTAGGGCAAGTTATAATAATCGCAAAAAAATCGAAAATGAAAATTTTTATATATCTTTACGTTTCAAACGTTTCTGAACATTTTGGCATACCTTTGAAAAATTGACATATGTGTTTATGAGTGTGTGAGTTTGTATGTTTGCATGTTTGTATGTATAATGTGTGTGTGTGCGGATACAAATTTTCGACGTTTTCGGGAACAAGGGTCAACCCATTTGAATAATTCAATAAACATTCGATTCGTATCGATAAGGAGACGTGCTGACTGGTTTTTGGCAAGGGCAGGTCCAGCTGTTACGGAGCTAAATGTGCAAAAAAATGGCAGTTTTTGAGATAAATAAGCATCCGATTTTCTCATTTTGCTTGTGCTGACGAAATAATTGCTTCTGGGGAAAAGAATTTAAATTTTTTATTTTTTTTATTTTTCAAAAAGTTTTTGTTTTAATAAAATTTATTCTTTGAATATTTCATTAAGGCGCAGTTCTAGCAATTTGCTTCAAGGTTATTGTTTCAATTTAAATAAAAAATACATGATACATCATTATAAAGAAGTTCAAGAAAAATCAATTAAAAAAAAAAAGTACACAAATTTTTATATAGGGTCAGGCAGATTTGTTTTAAATGCTATGAAAAACAACTACTGAATAGTTTCTCAAATTTCGTTTTTCATTTGAAAGTACAATAATAATGGAAAATAATTTCATTATAAAAAAACTAGAAGACGAAATGATTCTTAAAATTGCACAATTGTGTGTTTTGTTTTCAGAAGGACTAAATCGGATAGTTACATCTGCATATGGCACATACAAGACATTTCAAGTCCAAAATACATTTTAAACTCAAAATCAGCAATTAATTGCTGCAGTTTTATAGATAATTATGTTCTAGTTGCTGGATGCAACGACGGGTAAAATAATTTGAATAACTTATAAAGTATTATTAATATCATTTTAGTAGTAAATATTTTGTTTTTCTAGATCTTTACTATGTTGGGATTTAGATGAAAACACAAGTAAATTTGATGAAACTTTTAACAGAAATATAAAGTTACCGAGTCAGGTTATAATGGAAGAGAATTCTGAGCGTGGTTCCATCACACAGATAACTTTTATGAGTGATACGGAGTATGATATTAATACACAGGTATATATATATATATATATATATATATATATATATACTAGCAAACCCGACGAACTCCGTTTCGCCACCAGATGGTTTCGTGAAAAAGATGAAGAAATTTTTTGTTTGTTTTATATTTGAAAAGGAAAAATTTGATTTTTTTATATAACAGTAATGAATTTATTTCGATTACAAAAATGAAGTGTTTTTAAGTTGAACTTCTCTAAGTAAATGAAAGTGTATCCGCAAATTATCCGTTTCATTGAAGTGCTCTTTGGTAAACCACATTTTTTGTTTTTTGGTCTGACGTTAACACAAACAAAGCGGATAGTTTTTCAGCTCGTGAGCAGGCAACGTATAACTGCCCATGTGAAAAACAATGATTTTCTAAAAAATCTATTTGAAATTTATCCCGCAAACACTGAGCGATTGGCCTTGCGACTTGTTATTTCGAACGCAAGGCGAACTGGAAATTGCAATCGTTTGAAGTCAAACGGAAGACCAGTCGGAATCATTGGTATGTCACCAAATCGCCAGAAATTTTTAATTGAATGGTGAAATTCAGTGCGTGTACATCATTATTCTTTGCGGCAAGAATTGCTCGTTGACTTAACCAAGCATAATTCTGATAATTCTCACTAATGTCATTACTCGAATTTTTAATTACGGTGCGTGAAGTTCCAGCAGCTTGCATTAAGGCACGATGCCATGCACAACTAATTTTCTTAGCTATAAACCTTGCGGAGCCCGAGACCTCCCAACGAATGCAAAATTGTCGAAATCGGTTCGTGCGTTCTCTAGTTATTTCGTCAGGAAAGAAAACCCGACTTATTTTTATATATGTGTATATATATATACTAGCAGACCCTGCAAACCTTGTTCTGCCATAAACAATATATCTAGTGTAAAATGTTTTAGAAAATACTAACTGATTGCAAACGAACATTGTGACCCGCAACTTTTTCAAATAATATAATTTTTTATCCAGGTCTGTGTCCTTTACAAATACGGCTACATCTCCATCTGGACAATCGTCAAAAACCAACAAACCACTCTCAATCAACTAAATTTATCAAAAGACTCCTCTGGCCTATCTCTACAAAGCAACGTCCGTCTATTCAACAGCCACACGTTGAAAATAAAACCGTTGAAGAGCAATAAATTGGAACAGTTATTAGAAAACCAAGAACCACTTTTCAATGATACAAATAAAAAGGACTTCAACAATATGTTGAATGATTCGAATATGGATTTGGAGTATTGTAATATGTGTTTAGATGCCACTGATCCTCGACTTGTTTATGTCTTTGCAAAACATTCACAGTATGTTGTTGCTTGTAATGTCAGTTGGGATGATCGATTTCAGTATTATTCTTTCGATAATGGTGAGATAATTGATAGATAATAATATTAATATATATATATATATATATATATATATATATATTTTGTATGATTCTGAATTTGATGTTGACATATGTATTAACATAGTCTAATAATCGGGCATAACATCAATAAAAAACATGAATTTCTTTCAAAAATTTATTTTAAATCCATACGTTTCGGCTATAATCCTAGCCTTCATTCAGTGGAAACTAAAAATAAAATTAAAAACTAAAACAATTGAATTGGAGTGAAAAGAAAAAAATAAAATAGTAATTAGTACTTACAATTAGTTGATCTTAGTGTTAGATTGGAAAATTTAATAATCCATGGTATTAGGATATGGTAATGCACTACACTATGTATTATAAACATTAACTTGAAATTACACAATATTTTCACAAAATACTGATTTTCAAAAATCACAATTGGATAGTGTTTATTCGTAGACTGGTTGAAGATGTAATGGAGAAAGACATTTTTAAAAATATTTTTACCAAGATTCTACACATGTGTGGAACGAATTGCGAATCCTTTGCGCGACGCTTTTATTGTTTTGTAAGAAATTTGGAAATGTTATCTAAATAGAAGAGATTTGTGTCGCACAGCGTGTTGAGTTCATTCCGTTTATTTATTGTCTTATTGTTATAAATAGTTAAAAAAGATCCTTATAAAGAACTTATACGTACTCCCGATAACAAAACTAATAACAAATTGGTACCAAAAACCAACTAACTCTGGACGCTACCTTAATTACTTTTCTTATCATCCACTCAAAATGAAAATAGGTACTATAATAAATCTAACTGACCACGCAATACTTCTATCGGACAAAACATTTTGGGACAACAACATCAATTTAATTACAAAAATTCTAACAGATAACTAATATCCCTTAAAACTTATAAACTCCGTTACTAGTAACAGACGAACGTACCTTTTGAACAAAATGGACAATTCTACAGTACATAACGATTTACCTGACTCAGAAACTCATTCTGGTGTAATATGTTTGCCATACATCAAAGAATTGTATGTTCCTTGGAAAAAAATCTAAAAAAAAATATAACTTTTTTATAAATCTGGACTCCGACTTGTAACCAATTTAGGCAACGACTAGTACTATTTTTACCAAAACAAAAACCCCTTTTAATATCGAACGACTTAGAAATCTCGTCTATCAAATTAATTGTCTAGATTGTAATTTAATTTACATAGGAGAAACAAACCAGAACTTAATGAAACGTTTACAACAGCATAAAAACAATTTAAAAAATCCGAGACAATTTAAAACTATGATTGCAGAGCATATTTATACTTTAAAACACAATATGGACTTTTCTAACCCGACTGTACTACAATTCGAACAAAATTTATTTAAACGAAGAATTATAGAAGGATCTTTTTTAGCTATTTATATCAATAAGACAATAAATAAACGGAATGAACTCAACACGCTGTGCGACACAAATCTCTTCTATTTAGATACCATTTCCAAATTTCTCATAAAACAATAAAAGCGTTCGCGCAAAGGATTCGCAATTCGTTCCACACATGTGTAGAATCTTAGTAAAAAATATTTTTTAAAAAGTCCTTTCTCCATTATATCTTCAACCAGTTTACGAACAACACACTATCCAATTGTGATTTTTTTAAATTAGTATTTTGTGAAAATATTGTGTAATTTCAAGTTAATGTTTATAATACATAGTGTAGTGCATTACCATATTCTGCTACCATGGATTATTAAAATCTTCCAATTTAACACTAAGATTAACTAATTGTAAGTACTATTTACTATTTTATTTTTTCTTTTCACTCCATTTCAATTGTTTTAGTTTTTAATTTTATTTTTAGTTTCCACTGAATGAAGGCTACGATTATAGCCGAAACGTATGGATTTAAAATAAATTTTTGAAAGAAATTCATGTTTTTTATTGATATTATGCCCGATTATTAGACTTTGTTAATACATATGTCAACATCAAATTCAGAATCATACAATATATATATATATATATATATATATATATATATATATATATATATCATTTAACCATTTATCCATTCCAGATACTCCCCTTCATCTATGCTCAAACCCCAACAAACAACCCTGGTTCTCGCTCCTATGCACAGAGAACATTTTCATATTCAAAAAATTCCATCCAAAGCCCATAATCAAAATTACAATGTCTACAAATTTACACCAAAGTCGACCAAAACCGAATGAATGTTACATAAAAAGCTCTCCGAGCCATCCTGGACTTTTGTTTTCCATAAAAAATACACATTTGTGGATATTGGATGTAGTGAAACAAGAAATTGTGTGCGAAGGTGATTTTAAAGAGAAAATTAAGGATGTTGAGATGTGTCGGAGGATGGACAGGGATTATCTGGTCAGTAGAAAAAATATTAATATAAAATTTATTTCTGCTAATGTGTGGTTTGTTTTTTCAGATAATATCCCTTAAGAATCGCATAGAAGTTCACAAAATATCAAAGAAATATCGTTTAAACACTTCAGACGACATTATTAAGTACCAAGAAGAGTTGTCGGATTTTATAAAATTGTTTTAAAAATATTTTTATATACTTTTTAATATATTGCTATAGTCTAGTCGTTATTCTAGTCAAACTATTTAGATATATTTTTGATTTTTACACTAGTTGCACTTTGTACCTGTATATATATTTATAAAACAAATACAAATATATGATTATTAAAAAATGGTTTGGTATTATTATTGATCGAACAAAATGTCATGGAATATAAATGATAATATAGATTTACTTATATTTCTTTCTGTGTTAAATATTATGCTTGAAAGAATATTACAAGTCGTGTATAACTTTTAATTAATAATAGAATTCCAAATTATCCATTAAAAAAAATTTTAAATGGTCAACTTATTAAGGGGTTATTCTAGTGTAGGGACATGAATTTTAAGTAATTTTTAAGTAATCGTAAAAAAGAAGTATTCAATGTTTTATTATCATTTTTAACATCCCGAAGGAGAAGTTTATGTTTTCATAAAAAAATCCGATTCGCTAATTTTATGTTTTCTCGACGTTTCAAACCATTCTGAATCGGATGAGACCAAATTTAAGGGAATAGTATGTGTGGTTGTGTGTGTGTGTGTATGTGAACAGATTTTTGCCGTAAATCGACATTTTCTCGAAAACGGCTGGGCCGATATCAAAAATTTAAAAGCCACTCGATGTATCTCGACCAGGACTATCGTTTATCAGTTTTGTGCGACGATCGGCCAAGCCGTTTCTTTATAAATCGCAAAAAAGTGAAAAAATTTTCGTCTACGTTTTAGCCCGCAATTCTGAATCGATTTTGAAAATTCAAAAACCGTTCGAAAGATATTGGTTGGGAATCGTGCTGATTAGTTTTTGGTAGAGATCGGCCGGGCCGTTTTCTTGTAATTAACTGTTGAAAAAAAAATTTAGGCCGATTTTCATGGAACTTTTTTTGGCATTATATATCATGGTCTTATAGAACTTACTGTAATATTACGGTCTTACGACAAGTAGTTTAATTTTAAAAATTCGTCAAACTTTGTTAAAATTATTATCGTTTTTTTTAAAGTAGGATTGATAAAGTATATTATTTACACTTTTTTTTTTTGATTAAGTCGATTATTTACACATATCGGGAAGTTCATGTAACTTGCCACAAGGCTAAATACCAAACCAACTAGTTTTTATAATTTATCTATCAACATTACAAGAGTACAGAAAAAACCTAAAACATAAAAAAAGTTTAGAAATTAGCTTTTGTTTAAGTGGGTGTCTCAAAAAATTGATCATGAATAAATAAAAAAAATATTATTAATTTAGAATGATGAAAGTAATGGCATATACAAGGATTAAGTTAAAAATATTTTAACATAATGTCTACTGTTTAAAAAAAGCTTCAATTTCTTTTTTGTTTCTCAAACTTTTAAATAGTGAAAATAGAAAATTGGTGATGAGGCTAGTATTGCGAGAGAGAAGTCTATAAAGAAGATTCTCTGAAAATTTCAAGTAAATTGGTCCAGTAGAACTTGAGAAATCGTGGACAATGTATTGATAAAAACAGTTTTGAGAAAAACGCATTTAAAAGAAGGAAACGGAAGAAGATTATCATAGTCAAACAGCTAAATTTCCAAAAATAATTACAATTTTTAAAAAAATCCTCTCGTATATGTATTCTTGAAAGAAAAAAACAATCTTTTTGATTTTCCACACTACAATACCACCTTATACTATATTTTTTTTTATAATTAAAAAAAATCAAACATATTTACAATAACCAGAAAGAAATTTAAAAAGTTTTAATTATCTGTAACATGTACAATTGAAAATATATCAATATGATATCAATGTGATGTTGTAATGGATGATGATAATTTAAAATAAAAAAAGTCTACAATTTAATAAAACATCTATCTGAAAAAATCATTCAAAATCTATTTTCCTGTACATGGCACAGAATCTCAACAAATTCAGATCACGTCACAGCCATCTCATTCTACCATTTCCCAACATTTATTTCTTTTCATGTTTAGCTTGCGTTTTATAGGATATATAAGAATTCCACCCCACCGAAACAACCTGCACGAACAGCACTTGATAATTCAAAGGCATCATATAAAAGTTCACCAATTGCGCAAACGGCCACAGACAGTAGTTGGCTTTCATTATATCCACATAGGTAGTTTTTGTTTCTGCAATTGCTTGATGGAACGATTTACCTGTTACTAAATTCAGGGATGTTACAATGGCGAAGGTGAAATTCGGGGCCATCAATATCTGATCCATGAGCATTTTTTGAAGTGGGGCGAACTTACTAGGTTTGACTATACGGTGAAGAGTTCTGTACCAGACTGTCAACCATGGAGCCTAAGGTAATAATAATAGATACATGTATAATTGATTTATAAGATATGTATGTATATGAATTTTACTTACGACAACTGTGGCTCCAACAAAGCAAAATCCAAGCGTCCTGCTGATTTCATACTGACTGAAAGGCTTTTTTTCTAGGAATTTTTGGGCTATAAAATCACCGACTCCCATAATTAAACTAGTTTGAGCCACTTGAGTGAGAAAGGGCTGTTTCGCCAACATAGCTTGATATGCTGCAAGTACTCGCCTCATGGTTAATTTTTATTTATACAAAACAACGTAAATAAAAATTAAAAACTATAAAAATATTTTAGAATATAAATTTTAATCTAAATCAAGATAAAAATTTAAAAACATCTTTGATTACAGGTTAACCTTCACATGTTTTTGCCGACATGCTAAGATTGACAGTTCTCACTGACAGGTTTGATATTTGAGGTTAGGATTAATTTTATCTAAAAATCTGCAAATTAATTAGATAATGACCATAAAGACATAATTATTATTATTTCATCACGAGCATATAAATATAACTAATAGATATTGATAATTTAAAGTTTTGCTGGTTGTACTCATTGACAGTTGTGTTGACAGTTTTCATAACAGGTTTCAAATTAAACTGACACTTATTAATAAATTATTGCCACATAGACCTATGTGTACGTAAACTATAAACAAGATCAAATTTTATAAACATTATATGTTAAATTTAGTATATTAATTAATTAATTTAATCAAATAATATAAATCTTAATATTATTTTGACATATAACTTTTTTGGTTCTGTTCCCAACTGACATTTATCCTTCAATTCATCAATAGATGTCAAAACTTGTCAAAATTTGACATATTCACTTTTGTAAGCCGCCCACGAACAACAAACTCTTCAATTTTCCTTCAAAATCTCTTAAAATACCCAAAATTATGTATAATTTAATAAACACAATACTTCTTCTATACACAGCCTGCATAATTCACATATCTCACGGTACGTTTTACACATAATGCAATATATATTCACAATTTAAATATTCTAGGTTATGTTTCAATTTGATGGCTGACGTGGTCTTTTGTAAAATACTATATTTGTAATGAAATTTTTGTGTTTGTAGCTGGAAAGGCTACTTACGTGACTTGTGGGTCTGTTGTTAAGCTTTTGAACGAAGATGGAAATGTCAGATTGCATTCTCACGATGTTAAATACGGTACTGGGTCTGGACAGCAGTCTGTGACTGGTACGAAGATTCAGGAAGACTCTAATAGCCATTGGCTTATTAAGGCTCCTACAGGAAAGGAATGCACTAGAGGGTAATAAAGTATAATTAAATTAATAATCAGCACTTTGTTAATATTGTATTTATTTGTTTCAATAGCGAACCTATAGAATGTGGGTCTGTAGTACGGTTGCAGCACATGGCAACGAAGAAGAATCTGCACTCACACTTTTTCCAAAGTCCTTTGTCTGGTAATCAGGAAATCTCATGTTACGGAGACTCTGAAGGTAGATAAACATAACATTTATATAACATGTATAAGTACAATTAGTTATTAATATTTTATTAAGGTGTTGGAGACACCGGTGACCACTGGATGGTAGTTTGCTCAGGAGACAAGTGGAGACGTGACCGCAGTGTCAAATTGAGACACATAGATACACAAACGTAAGTAAAATCATATAAAAAAACTTACATTACATTTACTTACATTTCAACTGTATATTTCTTCTCTCTAGTTACCTTGCCACCTCCGGTAGGACTTTCGGTCAACCCATCAGTGGCCAAGCTGAAATAGTAGGTGTCTCAAACCCCCATGGCGGCTATGTCGATTGGAAAGCTGCAGAAGGTTTATATATTCATCCAAGTGAATTTGGATCTAATTATCGCTCTCCTGATGCTGGAATTCATACTGAGTTATAATCTAGGATGAATTAGATAAATAAATATTATATGCCAGTCGTGTGTGTGTATGAGAGATTTTTGTTGTGTGAAGAGTACCTACAATTTAATGACATTAGATTTATTGTAATTATATGTGATTTATGTTTTATGCACAAGTGTTAGAAATAAATAGAATGTTTGTAAGAATTTGTAATATATAAATGAATAAATATATATATGTATATGGAATTAAATATTACCGGCCTCCTTCATTTGCATTAATTTTTTTCTAGTTTCTTATTTTGCTATTAGTTATATTTAATTCTAATTAGTGCTCATATTTGTTGTCAATTCAATGTGTTATGTTTCATTTTAAAACTCTTACAATAGTCCTTTTACATTAGTCAATCCATTATTTTTATCAATATTCATTTCCTGGTTTTAATGCATCATTATTTTTCTATGAGCTAAAATAATTAATAAATAAAATTATAAATTAATTATATTTTGTATTCAAAATAACAAAACTTACCTTTTTTATACCAGTTTTCCTTTTATTCCTGTTCAATTATTTCGGGAATAATTTATTGAAACAAATCCTTGTTATATTTTTAAAATTTATTCACGTTTCGATAAATGTTCCAGAAGTGTGGTAACATTAACAACAATTGTCTTGAGAAGCGTACACATACACATACATACATATATGTATATATAGGTATATGTATAATAATATAAAATTAGTGCATTTACAATTATTATTATTATAATTATTTATATTTATATAATATAATTTTAGATAATTTTGTTTTATTATGCATGTGTGTAATTTTAGTTATACGCACAAAGAGGAAAACAACATACACACATATTCATTTATACACGCATTATAAAGATCATCAAACTTTTGGCTAGTAGAAATGGACATAGAAATATATATATATATATATATATATATATATATATATATATATATATATATAAACAAATGTAATATTTTTTCAATATAAAACAAAAACAAAATAATAATATGGAACTATTATCACTTACAACAAGAAATTACATAGTTTAAAAAACCTTTCATCAAAATTATTATTACTTTTGAAAATAACATAAAAATTCAATAATAAAAAAACAAATGTAACAGCAAAGCAAAAAAATAATTATATATATATTTATAAAAGTGATAATAGCGAATCACAGTTAAGCAGGGCACACTTTTACACATAAATTGAAATATATATATACATATATATATATATATATATATACAATACATATATATATATATATATATATATATATATATATATAAATATTTCCAAATGACAACAAAGTATGCAAACACACAACTACATATCAAAAATGTCTTTACATTAAAATTATTAGTCTTATCAAACACTTATGTACTAAAATTTAAAACAAACATCATCATCTCTACATATACACATATAAATATATATATATATATATATATATATATATCAATCACATATGTATATATGTAAAGATGATTTACAATTTAATTAAAATAATGCCCCCTAAAAAAACTTTAACACCAAAGCTTCGTGTGAAAATGATTGACAACACGAAAACATCAAAACGAATTGCACAGTTATTGTTACAAGTCTACTAACATTACTTAAAATTAAAGCTATATGTTAAAACAATTAATATTCATAGTTAAAAATATATAAATGGATAAATGAGGTAATATGAGCATATTCATTATAGTGTTTATGTATCTGTATATATATATATATATATATATATATATATATATGTTGAAAATGTTTAAATATATATATATATATATATATATATATATATATATATATACATTTAGTTTCTTGACATACAAAGTTATTTATGAATAAAGTTAGTAACAAATTTTTTGATAAACGTGTAGAAATGACTACAAGCCTATGAATACAAATATTTGTCCATAAGTTCTTGATAAAAAAATGTTTGTTACAGTATAAATATTTTTTAAAGGCCAAATAATTTATTACTAATAAAAAATATCAGAGAAGAACATGACTGCTTGCTAATACAGTCATTTTGCATAAAAATTTGTAAATAGATGGTTTATTAAGTAAACCTTTCATTTATTAAGGAAAGCCATTAACCCCCACAAATAACTTTAAAGGTACTTATAAATATATTAAAATAAGTAAACAGTATAAGATCAATGCAAGTTGGAAAAATATATCACAAATTTGACTTCGAATATTCTATAAAAGTGTTGTGGCATAAAAATGCAATTTTAACCAAATAAATAAATGGTTTCAAAATTTTCTTCTGTATGCCAAGAAATTAAGCAATATATATATATATATATATATATATACAATACATATATATATATATATATATATATATATATATTATACAATACATATAATATATATATATATATATATATATATATACAGATTATTTGAAAAAAGTAAATGCTTTAAAAATTAGTTAATGGCACATACACAAAACTAATAATACATATATCAAAAACCTATATAAACGTACAAGAGAGTAAAATGTATAAATTCCCATATTGATTGATTAAAAATATCCTCCAATTAACAATAATTAATAAAACAGTAAAAATCTAAATATACTAATTCACCCACAGAATTAAAATCGGCAGGACTGCAAATTTTAAAATCATTTGCGACATGGTATAAAATATACTACATGGCATACTGATTGCTTATTTGATTAATTTACATAGCAACATCGTATTGCAAATATTTAATACAATTTGTGATCTAAAAAGGTCTGTTTAGTTTAAGCGACTTTAGTAAAAAATCCACTTTTGTGTGTGTATATATAAGAAATAATATGTATATATATATATATATATATATATATATATAAAGTGTATACAATATTTAATATTTTATTTTGTTTGAAAACAAAACTAATTCATATATATACAACACACATACACCAAAACGTACACAAAGTTTTTAAAAGATATACATATATAAAACAGTAACAAATATAATTATTATTATATATATATATATATATATATATATATTGAGCTATGATATACAAATTCTCAATTTTTAATAAAAAAGTTTATAATTCAAGCCGTTTCCATTCAATAATAAATTCTTTTAATTAAATGTTAAATAACAATAATTTTGGAAAGATGTGCCATTCAAAATTTAGAAAAATATCTTAATCAGTTTCAACAAGTTTGGAAACTACTGTTTAAATAATATTATTATGATATATTTAGTAAAACAAAAATGACTTAATTTTTAGAAATTATAAGTCCAATTCTAGTCGAGCTGATAGGTTGGTTTTTGTTGCAAATTAAAATAATAAATCATTGATTTATAATTGTTGTTATTTTCGCTGTTATTATTAAAAAGGTGGAATTATCTCTCAAAAAATAATTTCAGCAATTCTACTTGAGCTTGCAGTTTCATAAAAATATATTTATTTTACTCTAATATAATTTAATTGTTCTAAATATTTAAGTAATTATTTATGCTGTTTAAAAATATATTTTAAATATAAACGACTATTTAATTGAGAACAATTAGTTGTAGATTTAAAAATGTTATATATCAATTAACTATCTTAGAGATAAAAATATCTAAAGAGTGTATAAAATTTAATATGAATGGCTATTGTATTCAGAAGAATTAGTTGTAGATTAAAAAATGTTACAAAACTACCTTAAGGATAAAAATATCTAATAAATGTATAAATTTGGCATGAATAATTATATGCCTAACTAATAAATAGATAAATTTCTTATCTCAACATGGTACAGATATTCTTTCCCAAAAAACAATTCCACCAATTTGAGTTTAAAATTCTGGTCAAAATATGTTTAATCTACTGTATAATGTCTTATTATAAATCATTCTGAAAATTTAAATAACTATTTAAATTAATTTACATTAAGAATATAATTGAAATATGAATGGCTATTATACTTAGAAGAATTAATTGTAGATTAAAAAATGTTACAAAACTATCTTAGAGATAAAAATATATAAAATTTATGAACAAATAATTTTATGAATTTATTATTTGAAATTGATTATTAAAAACTTCAATAAAAACAGCAGGTGTAAACATTCTTTCCCAAAAAAACAATTCAACCGATTTGACTTTAAAATCCTAGTAAAAATATTATTCTACTTTAAAATATCTTAATATAAATAATTCTATTTGAATAATGATTATTAATTTGCTTTAAAAATACAATTTAAATATCAATGACTATTTTAAGTTAGTTATAGAAAATGTGTAACCTTTTTTTAAGTTAAATATTCTTGATAATTATAAATTAAATTTAAAAGGCTTAAAACACTTGAAGATATCGTTTGATTTATCTTTAAAATTAGATCTAACAATTTAGAATCTAATAAAATAATTAAACCAACTCAAGCTTGAAATTCTAATAAAAATTTAAGATAGTATTATAAATAATGTAAAAATATATTTAAATATTTTATTTAGAAGAACTAGTCGTAGAATTTAATTTTCATCTTTTTTACCTTAGAAATTTGATTAAATCTGATTTTTTCATTTTTTTTATACAGAAATCTGTATATCATAGCATTAAAATTTGTATCTACAAATTATTTATCTCAAAAATGGGTAGTTAAAATTCAATCTATTTACAAAGATTTAAAATAGACACATGTATACCTCTATAGACGTATACACATTCGATTAATATCTATATAATATAAGTGTTTTATACATTTACAATTAAAATCAAAGCATTACATCGAAGCAGTGATAGCCCTTGGAAAAGAAACACATCGAAACTGGTTTCATGTGTTCAATATTTATTAATATATTTTTTTATATATGTATATATTTAATTTTTAGGCGCGCATCAGGAAGAGGGTTATTATTTATATTTTTCTTGTGTATAGGTCGAAAAGATGAAATTTTTATTTAAATATAATTTCATCTTTTGCAAATGTGTGTAATTTATTTAATATTTGTTTTTAATTCACTCACTGCTGTTGAAGTATTCAGAAGCGTTGCCTCTGCATATGGGACAGGTACGATTTGACTGGGAAAAGAAAAATATAATGTTAAAATAAATTTTTAATTTAATATAAAATGTACTGCTATTAAAGAAAAGGTAGCAAGAAAACATACATTTCATAAAACACATGAAATGTACACTAGAAACAAAACATATTTTGGATTTCTCAATGACAATTTTACACTCAGGTAATAATCTTGAAATAATATTGTTTATAGAACAAAAGAAATAATACTTTTTCAGTTTTTGAGGTTTGACATGATATCTATATTATAAAGTATAAAAAAAAACTTACCCTGAGCCATTTATCAACACATTTTGTGTGGAACTCGTGTGAACAAGGTAGAACTCGAAGCACCTGTCTAGCTTCAAAATCACACATGCACACCACGCAGGATGTTTGATCTCCTATAAATTAAAATAGTATCAATATATTATAAATATATACAAACATATATATATATATATATATATATATAAATATATATGTATATATATATATATATATATATATATTAATATATATAAATAATTTAATATTAAGCTTAATATAATATGATTATTTAATGTTCATAACAAAATATTTTCTAAAATTGTTAAATTAAAAATATTATGCTTTCAAAAAAATTCTTTCGGAAAAGAATAATATGATAGTATTCTCTGTAAATTATCAACATGATTTTAACACCTAAAATTAAAAAGTTTAAATGATGTTTTAAAAACTGAAACTAATATTTTCATGCACAGATGCATTCAAAGTTAGAATAGTAATTTAGACATACATTTAATTTTAGGTATTCAATATAACATTAATTACGTAAATGAGGTCAATTTTTATTTTAAAATTTTTAGCTTCAAACAATTTTTTTTAATATCAAAATGATTCAAATTTTAATTTTGATTCTGGCTAAAATTCTAAAGCCTATTTATATACTTGAAATAAAAAATATTAACTTTGCAATTCAGTTTATATAATTCTTATAAATATGAGATAAGATTGTTCATTTTGAATCTGATTGATTAAATTCTGTTTATTTACTTTTCATGTAAACATATATAAACGTCATGGTCCAATTTGAAATAAATATTTTGTATAAAAATATGAATAATGAAAGTTACAGTATTTATAATAATATATTAGGAAACATTTAATATCCCTCAAATATTTCATTAGGGTACAGAAAGTTCCAACACTTTGCCTCAAGGCACGTTGCCATGCACCACTAGGATTCCTTTAATAATTAGACTCACCTTGGTAACTAATTCAAATGAGATATTAAAAAAGAATGTTGATACAAAGTTAAAATCAATTATTTTTGTTAATTAATTAAATTACTATCCCAAATATCTATCAATTATAAGAATCTTTTATTAAATCAATTTTCTGCTCTCTTTTTACCTGTATGTGTATCAGCATCGTATTTATAGCTGGGCAGCTGTTCGATTTCGTGTCTGGCGAGCCCCCTTGGCTTGGCCTCTCCGAGTCTTTCTGCCAGAGACAATAGAGCCTCGTAATTCTCGGTTTCTGTTGAATCTGGGGACCCAACCGACCCTGGCATACCACCTGAACCGGGTACGGAACCATCTGGAGGACCGTAGGGCGACAAGGGGAACATTGCACTGAAAAAAATAATAATATATATTGACAACCGCTTAATATGACGTAATCGCACTAGGAATTTGGTTTCCATATAAAATTCCTTAAAAAAACAGCTGTCTAGTCGGATATATTGACCTCGATTACATTGACATGTCGCTTATAATGATCCATTTTTGCAAACAAATATGTCCAATTATAATGACCGACATGATTCTACATGATGTGGCCAAGTCTACGAAAGCAATTGCTATGTCTTTTGTGCACAATAGCACCAGGGACTGTTTTTACAATAAAATTATGTAAAGAAATCAATCAAAAATTACTGATTACTTACATTAAAACATCACTTTTGTATGTTTATGGGTAGGGTAGACCAATTATTAATAGTCCACCACGTCATATCTCGTAAACAAATAAAATTAAAATTTTTTTAAAAAAATATTTGATAGTAGAGGGCAAAAAATGTAAAAATGTATAACCAGTCATCACCATCATTCTTATGACTTTGCTAGCAGAAAATAAGCAGCAATGAGTGGGATAAAAAGGACCAGCTGAACTTTTACTTTGGCAAACAAGTAAGCAATAAAATAGTATAAAGTTTTAAAAAAAGCAATTTTACAAGAGATTAATTGAATAAATTGTTATTCCGGCTCTTCTGATAAATATTTCTGACCAATAACAGATTAATGTAATATACTGTGTTGTCTTTGTTACAATGTACCCACTGAATTAATATTTTGCATTGGTTCAATAATGTAGCATAAAATGCCTTTAAAATTTAATAGAAGAAATTGCATCTGTTCGCCCCCTGGTTGTTCCACTTTACCCCGTATGTGAAGTAAAATGGGTCAGATACCAAATGTTTAAAAAATAGTAAAAAATATAATATTTATATAATTAGGAATTATGTACGTATGCATGTAAGTTTTTCTGAAAATAGTTCGATAGATGCTTCTTTGATGTATGTTATGTGTTGTTCATTGGGTTTAGACAGTATAATTATCGTAAGTCAAATTGGAACGTTGTGCCCCCGCCCTACCCTATGTCAATTTTATTTTATATTAAATTTTAATGTGTCATTTTTATTTTTAACTAGATGACCCGACAGACGTTGTCCTGTACCCAAGTCTACAATTTTTTAATATAATATACTAATATTTACCGTTTACATAAAAATAATAATGAATGATTTTTAAATTATTCTTTACGCCAAAATACATATACATTTATAATATGAGCAATGTTAAATGTAAAACTGCTTTATGAAATGATGAGTCTCAATTCTCACACTATATTAGAAATTTAAGCCTTTTAAACGGTATAACATAACCCTAACCATAATATAACACTGGTACTTCATGTTGGATTAAATTCATTTCATTTTTTTATTATTTAAGATATCCAAAAATGCATCTTAAACTTCTCCTAATCGATGTCGTGAGGGCCGAATTGTATGTATTTATCTTTAATTTCCCATTTGTTGTTATAAAGTGAAATTTTGACAAATTTTAAAAATATTGTGGAAAGATTAGTAAAAGATGCAAAGAAATTATATATTAAAAAAAAAACTATATTGATAATTTAATATCCGAATCTTATGTTGGCGCCCCCTAAAGCGTGCGCTCGTATTTTTCGCATGAATCGCATTAAAGGTAGGACAGGTAATTAATACTTAATTTCATATTTTGAGTGAATTAATTTGTCATATCCTGTTCATATGTGTATCATTCAATCTGCCATACATATACTGTATCTTATATTTTTTTAATTTCTGGCACATCTCGGCTGCTTTTCGGCAATAATAATATAGACATTTCAATGTTTTCATTTGTTTTCAATGCAAACAGTGACATGTCGTTTTTTGCAATTTTTTCCATTTATTTCTACAATATTGCACATACATCCCAGTACTTTATAATCACATACATCCTAGAAAATTTCCTTAACAAACTTCAGAAAGATTTATCAAAATCCGAATAATCGTTTAGAAGGAGTATACGGTGGGTGCTTATGATTCAATATGAAGTTTATATAATAGCAATAAAGCTCAAATTGATTCTACGTTTTAGTTAGAAAACGTTTGTATGAAAAAGGAAAAGGGCTGTTTTTACTGTTTTCCCGGCAATTATTCGATTTTTTTTCACCGTAAGAACCATCCTTGGACTTCAACAAACATTTAAAAAAAAGAATTGGCCAAATTGGTCCAAGTGTTGTTGAGTTATGCGCTTACCAACACATTTTGCGATTCATTTTTATATATGAGAATAAAACGTTTGTATAGGCTTTTCTTTTAAATTACTGGAAAATGTAACATATTTGCACATTAAAAAGTTTTTCTTCAGTACGCTTTTAATGACGACCGGTTAGTATGACGAGATTTCGGCGTCCCTTCGATGTCATACTAAGCGGATTCTACTGTACTATCAATCTGTACAATCTATATATTAGGTTGTCAAATATCTCCCTTCCGCTTTTTTGCTCTTGGTTTATAATACAAAAAGGCGGAAAGGAGATATTTGACAACCTTATGTATATTTATGTTTATTTGCGTTTAAGAACTTCAATTTTTACTTAAGGGGGTCTCCTCATCAGTCAGTTTCAAAAAATCGATTTTTTTATTTTTGCTTCAATCGTTAGATTAATTATTTAAGAATATTCTTGCAAAGTTTGAGAGTCCAACTCAAACTAGTTTAGGATTTACAGGTCCGAGTAGAGTCGCGCGTGGGGCAAGCGCCAGTCAAGCCGCGCAACTTTAAAGCTTATTTTCCGAAAACCGATTTTTGTAAAATTCCGTGCACGATTAAAAATGAACCATAAAAGCTACATATACAAGTAAGACACCGTTTTTTAGATAATTTTATTGTCCATAGATTGAACTAAAAACATGTATTGAAAATTTTCATTTTACAATGTTGTTAACGCAATTACTCCTTAAAAAAGCCCTAAAAAAAACAGTACTTTTTTAAAAAAATGTTAAAAATGTTTAAATTTCAACTTTGAGCCACCATAATAGTCTATGATATGCAGAAAAGCCTTCTGAATAAAGAAGTATTTCCATTTTTAGTTTCAGATAAAAATTACGGGCTGTACCTTGCACGGAGTTTGAGTTGTCAATCGCGAGCTGCTGCGCAAGATTGTTTATAAATCAGCCATTTTTATTTATTTTGACATACAATAAATTTTATTTTGTTGAATAAATACGTGTTCAAAACTATGCAAAAGATCTTTTGTTTCTCTTGTTGTTTTCATGTTCAAAAAAAATTCTGAAAAATCCCTTTTTTTGTAAGCTACTGATGAGGAGACCCCCTTAAACTGATCATTTTCAGCAAATATTTCGCAAAATCGGTTTCTCATTAAAATTTATGAAATCTAAAATTCCTTATGATAAGAAAAATCATTTATACAAATTGGAAATTGGGACATTTGGAAATTGAGAGCGAATGTCAAATCATTGGCACTCGACCTTGCCGTATGAAACTTTCGTTGCAATTGTACGGATTTACACCGTAGACGCGCTTAAAAAAGTTTTACTTCAATTTCTTTTGTTTTTTGTATTGAATTTTCCTTTCTCTTTCTCTTTCGTCTTATGTCTTAGTTGATATTTCTATATTTACCATTATGAGTCCTTTCTACTTTCTACTTACAGGAAATTGAGCAGTATCCCCGAATACGGCGGCGGTGGTGGTGGCGGTTGCGCGTGCTGCGCCACCGACGGCGGCTGCTGCGGTCCATGATGGTGACCACCGGCACCTCCATTCGGATGGTGATGATGATGATGGTGATGGTGGTGGTGGTGCAACCGGTGATGACCTGTGGCGGTGGCCGTTGCCCCGTGACGGTTCAGCGCGTGCACTGTCACCTGCTGTATGCGGCGTCTGATCGGAGGACCGTGGCGGTGGACGGCGGCGACGGCGTGGGCTGCGGCGTGAGCTGCTGCTGCTGCCTGGGCGGCGGCCTGGGCTGCTGCTTGGGCGGCTGCCGCTTGTGCGGCCTGCTGGGGGAAGAAATGATACATAAATAATACAGTTGGGTAATAATATTCTTAGTTTAGATGTAAAGTCGTGATGTTATGCAATTAAGGGCGAAAAATGGTAAGCACGTTCATTATCTAACATTTGCACATTAAATAATCAGATTTCTATTGTACCTTTAATAATATGCGTTAGAGATGGGTAACTCAATCCGGAGTTATCACTCCTAAACAACTCCTATCTCGGAGTGAATCCGAGTAGAGTTGTTTCACAGAATTTGTCATATCCGACTTCCCTAAACTGATATTAATCTTTTAACTTGTTGTTAACTCGTGCAGACATTTACTGTTTTTGACGTTTTTGCTTTGGGAAGAAAGCACCGCTTTCTCGTCTCACAGACACTTTTATACCTTTTAGGTATGAAACTCAAAATAATACCATTGTGTATTTTCCAGAAAATATAAAAATATTACTTCAAGATACAGAACAATAAAATTGTGTTCGCGTATGAATAACTCAAATGTATAATTTATTGAATAGAAAGGGGTCATATTTCTCATATTCATGGGTACCATTACCAAACTACGACAATCTTGGCCGTGAATGACGGCAATCAGGAATATACATACCGAAAAATACACGAAACAAAATACATTTAATCTGGTTTTTCCATTGCCTGAAATAACAACACTTTAGAGTGCAAAATATATCAGTGACGTCAATAATATTTAAGCAGAAAAATATATAGTATTAAATTTTACTTTTACACATTATATAATTGTTAAAAGTAATAATATGCTAATCAAACTACCCGATATAACTTAATTCTCGAATGGAGGTAGCAGAACAAAAATTAGGAATCAGAAGTATTATTATTTTGTTAAAATATTTTATGATAAATGTTTTGCTTTTTACAAAGTTTTCTACATTATTCTTATATAATTAATCCAAACTAGCTGTAAGTGGAATTCTGTCTTGAGGCATTATGGCATCGTGCCTAAGGCAAATTGCTGGAACTTCCCGTACCGAATGTTCGAGGAATACTGAATGTTTTCAAATAGATTATTATAAATATTGTAACATTGTCTAATATTTATGAGAATTATATAAACTGAATTGCAGAGTTGAAAATATTTGTAAAGTATATTAGAACTATAGCCAGAATTAAAAATAAAATCTGAAATATTTTTTATAAAACTAAAAAAAAAAAAAAAAAAAAAAAAAAAAAAAAATTAAAAAAAATTTTTTTTTTTCCAAAATCAATTATTTTGTTAAGACAAGCAGAAAGTTCTTTGAATCATTTAAATCGGACGCTTAGTTCTCTCAAAAACTGCCATTTTTTACATATTTAGCTCCATATCTTCGAAATGGCTGGGCCTGCCTTTGCCAAAAACTAATAAGCACTTCTCCCAATCATTACTAATTGAATGCTTTTTAGATCATTCAAATCAGATACTCCGTTCTCTCAAAAATTCGATTTCTATTTTCTGCACTCTTTGCTCCGTATCTCCGAAACGGCTGGACCTGCCTTTGCCAAAACTAATCAGCTCTTTCCCTATCAATAGGATCGAATGTTTTTTGAACCATTCAAATCGGTTGATCCGTGCGCCCTAAAACGTGACTGGAAATTTGTATCCATACATACATACACACACACACACACACACACACACACACACACACACACCAACACATCCATTTTTTCTGAGGTATGCCAAAACGTTCAAAAACCTTCAAAACGTCGAGAAATGTTAAAATTTTCAATTCCGATTTTCGGCCCATTACAATAACTTACCCTACGGGAAGTTAAAAATCAATTATTCTCTCATCAAAAGAAAATAACTAAATTGAATTTGCTTCTCAAGTTTTGAGTTTTTACTTTGGTTAACACTGTTAAAATTACGAGTCATTGAGTCGATCATGTGGTCGACCGAAAAATTTTACAACTCATCATTTATTTGGGAATTTTTTAGAAAAATTATTTTATTGATAATTATTCATAAATTTTCATTTGAAAAAATTAAATAGGATTTGACAAATCCTCGGATGCATAAACAACGCACTATAGAACACTTTTGTGTCGAGTATTTCGGTTTCAAAATTGTCGGAGTCGTGGAGTTGTTAAGCGGATATAACTCCTCCCTGAAGCGGAGTCAAATCCGAGTCGATCCGGCTTTGGATATGATAAGCCCATCTCTAATATGCATATATTTGTATCTTGGACTAATTTTATTAGACTAGACTACTCATTTTACATTCCTTGCAATAATAATAAAGATTTTGCACTCTATCCCTACGATTATGCCTAAAACAAACAATTTTGATTGTTGCTTATCCTAAATTACATGCATATTCTTGACATTGATCAGAGGATTTTGTATTTCTAGCCTATTTTCTATTCTTAAAATTTAACAATCGAGTTAGTTTTTTTATCAATCATTTATGTCTTAACTAATCAGCACGATCCCCAACCAATATCTTCTATAAATCCTTTACCCAAAACTAGTGGGGCGCATGGCATCATGCTTTAAGGCAAATTGCTGGAACTTCCTGTACCAAAATTTTTGAAAAAAAAAATACTCTGAAAAAATTAGATTTATCAGAAACTATAAATTTTTGACAAAAAAAGACTTATTGAAGAAAAATTATTTTGAAATTTTTTGGAACTTCTGAACTTTTTTTCAAAGCAATCGTACTGCTTTAACTGCATAGAGACAAAATATCGAAGCGCGTAAGCGGTGCGTCGCCGTCGAATGGAACCCATAGGAATGTAAACAAAATTTATACTTATTGTTAAAATCTCTATAAAATATCTGATAATTTGATGTGCATATGTCTAATGACCAGATGGCATTTTTTCTTACTTTTTTACTAATCTCCGAAATCGCTAGACCTGCCTTCATGAAAATTTGATCAGTTTTTCATCTTGTTAATATAAGTAAAATGTTTTCTGAATTATTCAAATCGGACGCTCCGTTCTATTAAAAACTGAGTTACCGTTTTTTGCACTTTTTGCCCCATATCTTCGGAACGGCTAGACCTGCCTTCGCCAAAAACTAATCAGCACGTCTCCTTATCAATACGAATCGAATGTTCTTTGAATTATTCAAATCGCTTCATCCGTGTTCCCGAAATCGTCGACGAAAATTTGTATCCACACACACACACACACACACATTTTTTCTAAAGCATGCCAAAATGTTCAGAAACCTTTGAAACGTCGAGAAATGCAAACATTTTCATTTTCGATTTTTTTGCGATTACTATAACTTTCCCTACGGGAAGTTAACAAGTAAATCAGTGGCTCAAAAAAAAAACCCTATCCTTTACTACCTGATGCTGCGCGGCATTCTGCATCTGCTGCTGATGCGCCTGATGCTGGTGCCAATGCTGCTGTTGCTGCTGATGATGATGATGGAGGTCGATGGCAGTCTCGACCGCCACGCGTGTCCTTATACGAGCGAGCGCCCTTCTCATCGCAGTCTGCTGCTGAAGGACGCCGCCAGCAGCCGAATTAGCGGCTACGGAGCATACGCCCCCATTAGGGGCAGTGGTAAGGCCTACGTTCGGGGGAGCCGCACGACGCGAGCGGATCGTCGGGTAGAGTTCTAGTTGGGCAGACTGAGGAAAATCATGATAATTGATTGACATGATAAAAAATGGAAAGGAAAGCTCTCTTTGTGAAATTGAAATGAAATAAAAAATATACCACAACTTATAGAGCTCTATCCGATGCCGCAAACGCAAATTATACAGTAATTATATATATGTATTTAATTGAAGCCACTGATTTACGTGTTTGGGGAATTTAAATCATTTACTAAAGATTGGAAAGGACTATACAGTAACACAAAATAACACTTAGCAGAAGCACATATATATATATATATATATATATATATATGTATGTATATATATATATTAGGGTGGTCCTTAATATGGACATTTTCGAATTTCCTTGCTCCTAAGGGCTCAAATGGTTCCAAATTAATGAAAACCAATTCTCTGAAAGTTTTAGCTCTAAATATTAACTTTCAGATAGTGCGCAATTCAATCAAACTTCGTATGGAACTAGCACGGAAAAAATTTTGAAATTAAAAAAAAATAATAATAGGTATAACTTAGCGACAAATGAATTAAAAGTGAAAATCCGTGTCATTTTTTATTGAAAATTCAACGTTCTGCAAAATTTTTGATTTTTTCATGCTATTTCCATAGAAAAGTTTGATTGAATTGCGCTCTATATAAAAGACAATATTAAGAGCTAAAACTTTCAGAGAATTGTTTTTTATCTATTTGGAACCATTTGAGCCCCTGGGAGCAAGGAAATTCGAAAATGACTATTTTAAGGACCACCCTAATATATATATATATATATATATATATATATATATATAACAAATGTATTCTGAGTGGATAGATAAATATTAATTTAGAAATATGTACAAACAACACTCTTTTTCGCACTAATTTATTAACCAATAATTTTACAAACGTTTCGAGACTAGTTTTGTCTCATCATCAGTGAGTTATAATTTAAAAACTAAAATATGGAACCTAAATTAGCATTATGTGTTATCCGTCACAAGTCGTCCATTATACATGTGTTTGATATTAAATATATTAATATTTATTTTTTGTCCATTGTGTTTGTTATTCATCATATTACAAACTACAAAAAAGGGCTTTTTTATAATGATTTTAGTTTAGCACGGTTTTTACATGTAAAAGTGGGACCTATCTTCCCTGTAAAACGGCGGATATGTGTATATTCATTGTATAAATTTAGGAAAAAGAAAATTGTGTTTTGATGCGTTGAACTTAACAACACAAGGATAACATATAATGCTAATTTAGGTTTCCATATTTTAGTTTTTAAATTATAGCACAGTGATGTTGAGACAAACCTAGTCTCGAAACGTTTGTAAAATTATTATTTAATAAATTAGTACAAAAAAGAATGTTGTTTGTTCATATTTCTAAATTAATATATATATATATATATATAAATATATATATATATATATATATATATATATATAGACATACATATATATCAAAATCTTAAGTTTCTTACCTCAGTAGTAATGAACAGCGGTGGAGGTGACAGCTGTGCTATTTGAGGAGTTGTGGAGTGTGTAGTAAGCGCCAAGGAAGACAATTGGGGAGCCCGAGGTGCTCCGCCACCTGCTCCATGATGCTGGTGATGCTCCAGAGATTCTGCTATTGCTATCGCTCCATCAGATCTCTAAAAAATTAAAACAATATTTAATACACTACTCATATTTACTTTTATTTATTTGTTTATTGTATACATAGCCCATTAATTCCAGAAGATTTTAAAGAAATAATTAGTATAATACAATTATAATGAGTTAATAGCAAATAATTATCATGTAACATGTTCAAAACATTACTTACAAAAATACATTATGGATCTAATGCAAGCAAATATTTGATATAAACTATAAATAATTTTATAATTTTAATTAAATCTGATTATATGCCAAAAAGTATTTACTAAAACCTCTACAAAGTACAGATGAAAATTTGAACTTGAACTTGCTTTAAAAATGGTAATTAAATATTTTTACAATCCAATACTAACCGTAGGAATGTGTTGATGATACTGTGGTACTGCAATGGCACCAGGTGCTGGTGCAAACTGCGTCAGCCCCAGTTGACAACTAGTCGGGTATTGTGCATGGTATATACCATGTACCTAAAAGAATACATACCAAAAATTAAAATAACGACTTACAATCTGACAATCAATTGTATATGTTTATATCTTTATTTACCTGACAAGGTTGCAAATGTGGTGGATGTCCATTTGAACATAGAGATATGTGTGGTCTTGGAGGATATGACCAAATATGATCTGCAGTCAATGGCAAACTAACTGGCACCTGGAACATAACATAATAATAAGAAATAAATAGTCAGCAAAATATAATATTAACATGAGTATATCTGTAAATGATGTACTTGTGCTTGTTTATACCTACAATTACACTCAAATTATTTAATAATTGATAATGCTCACATTATGAGTGTAATATCAAGTCTTGTAAAAGTACAATTGAGAGCCATCAATATTGTGTAAATAATAAAGATTAGAAGATCTGTTATTTATAAACTATTGGTATTCGTAGTTTAATATATCCCATTATATTTATTAATGTATTTATATATATATATATATATATATATATATATATATATATATATCTTATATATAAAAATGGAGCTCTCTTTCAAATGTCCGAATAAAACTCGAAAACGGCTGAATCGATTTGGCCAGTCTTAGTCTTGAAAAATTCGTGCCAATCCAGAGAAAGTCCAAAAGGTGAGGAATTATTTCAAATCCGCGTAGAAACTTTACATTTTTAATTTGAAAATTTTTGTAGAAGCGTAATTCAAATAAAACAATGGACGGTGGCAATTTCGTGAAATGTCAAACGCTTTTGACAGATGATGTTCAATTACGTTTAATAGGATGTTTTACGCGCATATTATTTATTTATGATAAATTTGTAGTAAGTAGTTTTGTTTGTAGTTTTATTTATATACAAAAACGTTAGTAAACGGGCCGCAAGTGTTACTAAAGACTCAAAATATCAACTTTTTTGAAATGTTAATATGAAAATGCACTTTTTGGCACATTTTTCTCAAACACGGTGCTCTGAAAGATCTCATTTGTATAATTATATACTCATTGGTATATATAAAACATTTTCTAGGTTATATTATTTTTTATTTATCTTATTTAAATTCAGAACCCAAATTTGGTATCGATCAAATGGACATTTTGTCGAATAACATTTTTCCAGTTATAATTTCCCAGAATTTATCGCAGAATAGATAGTAATATATGAAGGTCCGGGATTAAAAAGGTCCACCACCGATGTGCCAGAAATCAGTAAAGTTAAGCATTGTTTAACAACAATATTTGAAAGTAGAGGAAAAAAGATGTATAGCCAGCTACAAACTTGATTTGAAAACGATAATCTTTGAAATGGGGGAGATAAACGGTAATCTTTGAAAATCCATAATAAAAGTATTTTCTTCCGTTGGTAGTTTTAGCATTAGTTAAAAATGTAATTATTTTGTAAAATATATTTAAAATTATAATAAGGCTTTAAACCTTTTGCCAACTGCCCGTTACAAGTTACCCCGCATATAGGATAAAAAGGTCTAGGTAACAAATTTTTGAAAGACGTCAAAAGAGCACATTTCTACAATGATGAAGTAGAAGTCAGTTTACTGAACGTAGTCAGATAATTGTTCGTTTGATATGTGTTATTTGTTGTGATATAATTGGTTTGATTTATATAATATCATTAATATTTGCTCAAAGTCAAATTGGACCTTTGTGCCTCGCCCTGCTCTACATATATACTTTTTACTAAATTTACTTTAATTCATCGAATGTTACTTAAAACTTCTAAAAAAGCAGGATAAAGAAGAAATACTTAATTAATTTTTTATCTCTCCTCGCAAAAATTTGAATTTTTTTTATAAGCTCAGTAATATTATTTACAATTACACACAATATCCAGAATCTAAAAAGAATCTGAAAAATTTGAAACGTAATCAATAAGTCGAAAGACCAAGAAATACTTGGATTGAATTATACCATGTTTACTATAGAAAGTGTATAAAACTTCCAGTTGCTATAGAAGCATGTTTGCTATAGAAAGTGTATAAAACATCCAGTTTGATTGTGTTGACAAAATATAGATAAACTAGTGGGATTTATTGTTTTTATAATTCCTCACTGTATATAGCATTGAAATAACACATCCTTATACACTGAAAGTATTAATTTTTTTGATTCTCTAGAAATTGTTTAGAATATACCTTACTTAGCAAAACAACGTTTGCCGGGTCAGCTAGTATATATATATATATGTACTTACATTTATATCAACTACCAGAGATGGTTGATGTGTCGAAGGAGCTGTTGTCTGGAACAGAGGTGTAATTCCTTCAGGCCAACTGTTGCGATCACGATATCTGGCTCTTCTCAAAGGCGGTGGACTAAAATAAATATCACATCATATTGAATTGCACACAACTCTAATTTACAAAACTATTATATGTATTTGTTGATATCTGGAGAATCGAAATAAATTTCATTCACAATTTCAGTCCAAGAAATACCAATACGTACCTGCTCTGCATATGCGGAGGTCCATTACCATTACCATTCTGGTGTCCATTAATCAGTCCATTATTACCAACCGGGTTGTTATTATTCGAAGACAAATGATGTCTAGGGCTTCGGCGTTGTCTAACAAGCGGAGGAGGATGTAGGAGTGGCCCCTGGTCATTCCAGCTCCCCTGAGATGGATTGTTCATTGAAGAACTGGAAGGTGTCGCATTTTCCCTAGGCCCATCGTCTCTTATCCGAAGAGATCTTGTGGAGACTAGCCTTCTGCGCTTGCGAGATGGACTGCTTGAGGAATTGTCTTGGGAGGAATGGGGGCTGTTGCTACCTGGACCTAAAAAAAAATTGTTTTGAATATTTATGGTTTTTGAGTGAATTTAATTGTGGACTTACTGTTTGGTGATCCGCTGTTGTTTGGTGAAATGCTTGCTGAGTTATTTGAACTGCCTGATCCATGTTTAACAGAATGTTCCACTTCCATGGACCATGCACCATCCTGGGGCAACCCAGGCGATATCATATTATCTATAAGAATAAAATATAAGATTATTAACTTTTTATTAAGGGTAAGTTATTGTAATGGGCCGAAAATCGGAATTGAAAATTTTTACATTTCTCGACGTTTTGAAGGTTTCTGAACATTTTGGCATACCTCAGAAAAAATGGATGTGTGTGTGTGTGTATGTATGTATGTATGGATACAAATTTCCAGTCACGTTTTAGGGCGCACGGATCAACCGATTTGAATGGTTCAAAAAACATCCGATTCCTATTGATAGGAAAAGAGCTGATTAGTTTTTGGCAAAGGCAAGTCCAGCCGTTTCGGAGATACGGTGCAAAGAGTGCAGAAAATAGAAATCGTATTTTTGAGAGAACGGAGTATCCGATTTGAATGATCTAAAAAACATTCAATTAGTAATGATTGGGAGAAGTGTTTATTAGTTTTTGGCAAAGGCAGGCCCAGCCATTTTGAAGATACGGAGCTAAATATGTAAAAAATGGCAGTTTTTGAGAGAACTAAGCGTCCGATTTAAATGATTCAAAGAACTTTCTGCTTGTCTTAACAAAATAATCGATTTTGGTAAAAAAATTCGTCCCATTTTTTTTTTTTTTTTGTATATCGAAAATATTTATTTTTAATTCTGACTATAGTTCTAATATACTTTACAAATAATTTCAACTCTGCAATTCAGTTTATATAATATTTATAAATATTAGACAATGTTACAATATTTATAATAATCTATTTGAAAACATTCAGTAATCCTCGAACATTTCGTTACGGTACGGGAAGTTCCAGCAATTTGCCTTAAGGCACGATGCCACCCACCCCACTAGTTTATTTTCTTTTGTGAGTAAACTAAATTTGATACCAATCTATTTCAATTATCCTCACCTCTACCATTCCAATAAGATTGATAATCTCCTCCTCGATCCATCATATCAGACCTTGAAGAGCTGCCCATTCCCGAGCTGCTCATATTTCTAAAATCTCTATTCCCTCTCTGCATCGGCCCATCCTGAACACCTCTGGGTCCCATCATATTGGGACCGTTTCTCATACTGGGTCTGTCCTGGGGCCCCGATATGCTGTTCCTTCTGTCGCCGTTCTGGTCGGAGGGCATTTCTGGTCCAAAAGAGAAAACCTGCCCTACGCTGCGGGACGACAACGGTTTGGGGTAGGTTTGGTCTTTGGGGCTGTTGCGGTCGCTGCCGTTGCCCTCACTAGGGATAAAAGAAATAGTTAGTTTGTGAATTTATTTTAGCCAATGACCACTCATATATACATTTATTTATTAACTTCCCGTAGGGCAAGTTATAGTAATCGCAAAAAAATCGAAAATGAAAAATTTTATAGATCTTTACGTTTCAGAGCTTTCTGAACATTTTGGCATACCTTAGAAAAAATGGATGTATGTGTGTGTGTGTGTGTGTATGTGTGGGTGTATGTGTGTGTGTATGTATGTACGTGTGTGTATGTATGTGCGGATACAAATTTTCGTCGACGATTTCGAGAACACGGATCAACCGATTTGAATAATTCAAAAAATATTCGATTCGTATTGATAAGGAGACGTGCTGATTAGGTTTTGGCAAAGGCAGGTCTAGCCGTTTCGAAGATACGGGGCAAAAAGTGCCAAAAACGGTAACTCAGTTTTTAAGAGAACGGAGCGTCCGATTTAAATAATTCAAAAAACATTTCACTTGTATTGACAAGATGAATAATCAATAAAATTTTCATAAAGGTAGGTCTAGCGGTTTCGGAGATATGGAGGAAAAAGTAAAAAAATGAGCCATTTGGCGGTCAAAAATGATCATTAGACATATGCTCATCAAATTATCAGATATTTTATAGAGATTTTAACAATAAGTATACATTTTGTTAACATTCCTATGGGTTCCGTACCAATGCTTATGCGTTAGACAGCGACGCGGCGCTTACGCGCTTTATATTTTGTCCCTATGCAGTTAAATCAGTATGATTGCTTTGAAAAAAAGTTCAGATCTTCCACAATATGTCAAAATAAAGAATTTTTTTTTTTTTTTTTAAGAGTAATTTTTTGTCCATATATATAGTTTCTCAAAAATCTTATTTTTTCAAAGTACATTTTTTTCAAAAATGTTAATCGTTTTTAAAAAATTAATAATTTTTGGTAGGGGAAGTTCCAGCAATTTGCCTTAAGGCACGATGCCTTAATTGCCTTAAGACAGAATTCCACTTGCAGCTAGTTTATTTATTTATTTATATATTTAACGCCTAAGGCAATAATACAATATAGTTACATTTTGAAGTGTACTAATTATAAACTAAAGAGATAATATGTGAGAAAATTAGAGTATTAAGAGTTCATAGATAACTGGTATATATATATATATACATAGCACTCAATATAAACTACAAACATATAACATTAAAAAAAAACTAATAAATTTAAACATTTAATACACTATAAATCACTACTTAAGACAGTCTTTTAAGAATAATTTTTCTGGCTTGATTTTTTATATTTGTCACCGACAGGCCAAAGATATCATTCTCAGAAGCAAATTCATTTACTGTATCTATTGTAACTTAAAAACAACTCATCTAATACAAACTAATTATTATAAATTTAATTTTGCAGGAAAAGACTGAAGAAAAAGGAATAAAATATGAGAGAATAATTTCAAATAGGCAGTTTATTATAAGTATATTTATATTATTGTAATTGAATCTTAAGTCATTTAATTAATATGAATACAATATAAAACAATTTAGTTCAAAATTGAGTAATCTACATCTTTTTCAAAAAGAAAATTTTCTAGAGCAACTCTGCATAAAAATATAATCTAGGCTCATTGTGTTTGTAAAAAAATACATAACTATTATATCTGTGTCATAATTTATAAAACAATCGTTTGATACGAATGATTTATATGAGAAATATGCTTAGGATTAAATATTATAAAATAGTTACTGATATCAAATCTCTACAACAATCTACTATTAAAAACATAATCAAAACCCAGAAATGTATGCAAAAATAAATACTTCTGTACCAATGTTTGTGCCATATCCATCCAATGCATAATTTTTATAAACATAATACTAGTTGTGTATGGCTTCGTGCTTTAGAGCAAATTGCTGGAACTTCCCGTACCGTAATGAAATGTTCGAGGAATATGAAATGTTTTCGAAGAGATTATTATAAATACTGTAAAATTGTCTAATATTTATAAGAATTATATAAACTGAATCAAAAAGTTAAAATTATTTATTTAAAATATATAAGTGAGCTTTAGAACTTTAGCCAGAATCAAAAATAAAATCTGAATTAATTTCAATATACAAAAAGAAATTGGAAAAAAATCCCAAAAGCAATTATTTTGTCAAAACAAGCAGAAAGTTTTTTGAATCATTCAAATCGAGTGCTTAATTCTCTTAAAAACTGCCATTTTTGACACATTTAGCTCGGTATCTCCAAAATGGCTAAACCTGCTTTTGACAAAAACTAATCAGCCTATCAATAGGAATCGATTGTTTTTTAACCATTCATCATTCAAACCATGAAAAAATGCAGACATACAATACACACACACACACACACACATTCATATTTTTTCTGAGGTATGCCAAAATGTTCAGAAACCTCTAAAACGTGAAGATATGCAAATTTTTTCTTTTTCGGTTTTCGTCCCATTACTATAACTTAACCGACGGAAACTTAATAAAATCTTAGTCTAATACTTACTTAAAACATTGTTCATATTCACTGTATTCCTTGAACCAGTTCTGCATCCGATTGCTTCTATTCGAATTCTGGTTCCTGTTTCCCATCGAACTGATGCTCCCACCTTGAGGCATCGAACGATTAGCTCCTGATGGCATGCCTTGTGTAGCACCTGAACCACGATTTTGGAAAGTCGGTGAAGTCCTAAAAAAATAATTAATACTTTAATATATATTGAAACTTACATTTGTAAATAATAAATCAACTCCGAAGTGGCTGGATCTGTTTTTCTCAAAGACTAATCAGCAATCAATAGCAATCGAGTGTTTTTTGAATCATTAAAATCGGTTGATCCGTGTTCCCGATTTTTTATTTATTTATTATTCATAGCAAGCTATACAAAGTACATTCAGCTGCATTTGTTACAGTTATTTATTAATTGACGGCGTGAGAAGGATCGCTATCCTGCGATAGCGCCTTCATAGAAGTTATGTTATATTTTGTAGTAAATCATTGCAGATTCTTTTTTTGAGACGCTTTGGTGGTAAAGGCTTGAGCAGATCTAACGCTAATATGTTTGGATGACGACTTAGACGAGTAAAGACTAATTTTTTCTTCTATAGTTCGAATTCTGAGATCTTGATGTATCAACCAATTGGGAACGTATTTTGGAGCGTTCACGATTTCTTTCAAAATTTTATTTTGGAACCTTTGTAGAATAATTACGTTCGATTTACTGGCCGCACCCCATAGTTGTAGACCGTAGGACCATATTGGTTTAATAATTGTCTTGTATATTAGGAGTTTATTTTCTATTGTGACTCGTGATTTCCAGCCCATTAACCAATTAAGTTGCCTACGTGTTAATTCAAGCTGCTGACGCTTCTTTAGAATATGTTCATGCCAGGTTAATCTTCTATCTAAATGTATTCCCAGATATTTAACAACATTGGATACAGGAACCAAATCACCATTCAATCTAACAGGGGGGCATGAACCTTGTTGTAAGGTAAAAGTAACGTGAACTGATTTAGAGTTATTCACTTTTATTCTCCATAGTTTCATCCACTTTTCTACTTCATCTACTGAATTTGTCAAGGAAAATTTGTATCCGCACACACACACGCATTAATTTTTTCTAAGGTATGCCAAATGTTCAAAAACTTCTGAAACGTTAAGATATGCAAAAAAAATTTTATTAACTTCCCGAAGGAGAAGTTTATGTTTTCATCAAAAAATCCGATTCGCTAATTTTATGTTTTCTCGACGTTTCAAGCCATTCTGAATCGAATGAGACCAAATTTGAAAAAAGTATGTGTGTGTGAACAGATTTTTGCCGTAAATCGACGTTTTCTTCAAAACGGCTGGACCGATTTCAAAATCGTGCTGATTAGTTTTTGGTAAAGATCGGCCGGGCCGTTTTCATGTAATAAAGTTTAAAAAAAAAATCGACGATTTTCATGATTTTTTTGACGGTAGATACCATAGTTTTCTAGGTCATACTAAAATATTACGGCCCTACGACAACTCGTTTAGCTTTAAAAATTCGTCAAAGTTTGCAAAAATTGGTATCGTTTTATTGACATTTGTCAAAATGAGATCTTTGATCGACGTTTTCTCAAAAACGCCTTAACCGATTTCAAAAATTTAAAAACCATTTGATGTATTTCGGTGAGGACTATCGTTTGTCAGTTTTGTGCGACGATCTGCCAATCCGTTTCTTTATAATTTGAAAAAAGTGTTAAACTTTTCGTCCACATTGAAGCTCATACTACCAAATCGATTATAGAAAATCAAAAACTGTTCGAAAGATATTAGTTGGTCGTGATACTGATTAGTTTTAGGTGAAAATCTATCGAGCCGTTTTCTTGTAATTAACTGTTGAAAAAAAATTTAAGCCGATTTTATGGATTTTTTTTAGTGATATATACATGGTCTTATAGAACTTACTGAAATATTACGGCCTTACGACAAATAGTTTGATTTTAAAAATTCATCAAAGTTTGAGAAAATGAGTAGTTCTTTTGAGATTTGTTAAAATTAAAATTAGACTATTTACTTGGTATAATGATAGAGTACTTGGTCTTGAACATAATAAACCATTAAAGTCCCGAAAACTGGTTCAATTATATAAAATTTGCATTTAGAAAATACTCCGAGTCAAAGTGTTCGTTCGTTTCAATTATGTGTAATAAATCCACTCGGAATACTTTTAATGACTCATAAATTAATTTATATTTTATTGATTAAGTCGATTATTTAAACATATCGGGAAGTTCATGTAACTTGCCTCAAGGCTAAATACCAACCAACTAGTTTTCGAATTTTAGACAATTACAATAACTTGCCCTAGAGGAAGTTAATAACTAGGATCAAGGTAACAAAAAAATGAAGCTTCAAAGTATAAGACACTACATTTCCGATAACATGCTCTTGCAAATAAATAATTATCCTTTATCCTTTATCCCTTATCTCCTTATTACCTGTTATTGGCCGCCGAATAGTTCCTCCCGATGGCTCCGCTGCCGGAGCCCCCGTTTCCGTTGGGTCCTCCGCCCCACATGTTTCCGCCCCCGTTTAAATTGTTCGAACTCGGCGGAAGTGCATACAGCATTGTGGTGCGCGGTCTCGAACGGGGCGAATAACAGAATGTCCTGCGCATCGTGGTTCCATGATTGCTGGGGTTCATCGTAGGGGCTCCTCCAGAGACCCTCCTGTCTTTGTTTACTGCCTCTTTGAAGGACTCGACAGTATGTCCTCTCTGCCCCGATAAGGGCACCCCTGGAAAAGGAGAAAAGATACATTAGAAATATTGAAAATAAAAATGATATATGTCTGTCGTTATAGCATCTTAGTGTAAATATAATTATAATTTGGTGTAAGAGGCATTTTGCCGTTTTTTCTATTATTATTGGCCTCGTAAAACAGATATTAAACAATTTTTTTTTCTTTTTTCTTCAAAAAAATTCTTCAAATCTATATCAATTTACTCGCTGCACTCGAGCAGGATACGAACTGAGTATCCCTGTACGTGCTGGCCTTGTTTCAATCGACTTAATCTAGCTATTAACAAATATTCATTAACGGTGTATGTACCAAAGGCGCAATTCATAATTTCAAACTCTGATAATTTTTTATAATTCAACCAAATTATTTTTTTTAATTTGAAAATTTGTTTTAATTGACTTATATAAGTATGAAAAGAGCTATTAAAAACATACTGCCATAATTCAACCACTTTTCATAGGCCTATAATATTTTAGAATGTTCGTTTTAGAAATTCTATCGATGGGAAAAGTTTTAATAAAATTATATAAAAAGTCACATTAACGAAACATTGTGTTACGTATAATATGTCACATTAACGAAACATTGTGTTAAATATAGTATGTTACATTAACGAAACGTGGCTCTACGTATTTTCAACTTAAGTTTGCAAACGTCGAACAACCAAGGACACTTTTTTATATTTATCTTTATAGCTTTGTTATTTAACATAATTAATATATAGTATTATATATCAAATTAAAGGTAATAAAATTGCCTACAAATCTGCGTGTAAAAATTTATAACCTTTCTAATAAAATCTAAAAAAAATGTAATCAAAATGGCTTATACAGCATTAGTTTCATCGGTTACAGATTTTTGTATAGAGATTTATTTTGTTATAAAAAATTAAAATATACCAAAAATACAACATATCATATTATATCGTTAAAAAGTTTATAAAATTATCTATAAAACTACGTATGAAAATCCATAATGTTTCTAACAAAATTATATAAAAATAATTTAAATTTTGATATCAAAATGGCTTCTATAAGATTAGTCATCGGCTGCAGTATTTTATACCTGCGTGTATTTTATTATAAATAATTAAATATAACAATCAAAATATATATTGTCTGCATATAATGTTAAATATATTCTCTAACAAAATTAAGTAAGAAAAATATGTGAAATTCTAAATTTTGCATCTAGTTATTAGTCGTTTGGTTACTTTTTTATTAGCATAATTAGTATAAGATCCATATATATTTTTAATTTATTATATTATATTGTTAAAAAGCTTATTAAACCATTTATTAATCTGCGTATAACATTTGATAAGGTTTCTAACAAAATTATATAAATAGATGTTTTAAATTTTGAAATCAAAATGGCTTCTATAACATTATTAGTCATCAGTTGCAGTAATTTATAACTGCGTTTATTTTATTATAAATAAATAAAATATAACAATTAAAATACATATGCTAAAAATCTAGTGAAATTATCTACTTATCGGCATATAATGTTTAATAACATTCTAAACAAAATTATATAAAAAACATATGTGAAACTTAAAATTTTATTTTAAATCTTTATTTATTAGTCCTTAGTTACAGTCGTTTATGTTAAGCAGGATTGTTCTAAAACTCATATATATTCTTAATATATTAAATTATATCGTTGGAAAATCTATAAAATTATCTACAAATCTGTGTATAGCAACTTACAAGTGCACATTTGGCTTCAACGCTTTGGCTTAATAATGGATTTATTAATTATATTCACTTATTATGATCAATTAGAAGGTTAATACAAAAATCTATAATTGCAAAAATGTTAATCTTGCAAAAATCATCAAAAAGTTAAATTTTACTTCACTTCTTCCAATGTCGGTGCAAATCGATTCAGAATAGCTTCAAAAACGTGGAAAAGTAATAAAATAAATTTTCTGACAAAATATAAATATTATATTGACATTATTGTACTCAATTAGAAAGTTGATACAAAAATCTATAATTACCAAAAAACTTGATCTTACAAAAGTCGACGAAAAGTTAAATTTTACCTCACCTCTTCCAATTTCGCTGCCAAACGATTCAGAGTAACTTATAAAACGTGAAAAAGTAATAAAATAATTTTTGTGGCAAAATATAAATATTATATTGGCATTATTGTACTCAATTAGAAAGTTGATACAAAAATCTATAATTACCAAAAAACTTGATCTTACAAAAGTCGACGAAAAGTTAAATTTTACCTCACCTCTTCCAATTTCGCTGCCAAACGATTCAGAGTAACTTATAAAACGTGAAAAAGTAATAAAATAATTTTTGTGGCAAAATATAAATATTATATTGGCATTATTGTACTCATTTAGAAAGTTGATACAAAAATCTGTAATTGCCAAATATCTTAATCTCAACAAAAATCGACAAAAAGTTAAATTTCATCTCACCTCTTCCAATGTCGGTGCCAAACGATTCAGAGTAACTTATAAAACGAGAAAAAGTAATAAAATAATTTTTGTGGCAAAATATAAATATTATATTGGCATTATTGTACTCAATTAGAAAGTTGATACAAAAATCTGTAATTGCCAAATATCTTAATCTCAACAAAAATCGACAAAAAGTTAAATTTCATCTCACCTCTTCCAATGTCGGTGCCAAACGATTCAGAATAACTTCAAAAACGTGGAAAGTAATAAAATAAATTTTCTGGCAAAATATAAATATAATATTATATCACATTTTTATAATACAGGTTTCGTTATTTTATATATTTGTTACTTATATAAGAAAATTGAGTTACGCATTTCTTATGAAAAGAATTTTTCTGGTGTTTATTTCATATTTTGGCTAGTGTAGAAAATATTACGTTATTCAATTCTACATTTTGAGGAATGATGTTTTAATTTAATAAAGATCAGATATGAAATCATTAAACTATTTTTGAGCCAAAAAATTTTCATAAAGTGAATTTTCAATTATAATGTAAATTCTAATAATATATTGACTTGTTTTATCAAAATAATATATATACACATAAATCCGCTTTTGATCAAAAATGCTTAAACTAAAGGAAACTCACTAATTAAGGGGTTACACCACGGTAGATTTTTCGAAAAACCAAAAAATTTTTTGGGCTAGAAATATACTGTAAACTATATTATATTACATTGACATTGTTGTACTCAATTAGAAGGTTAATACAAAAATCTATAATTGCCAAAAAACTTGATCTTACAGAAGTGGACAAAAAGTTAAATTTTACCTCACCTCTTCCAATGTCGGTGCCAAACGATTCAGAATAACTTAAAAAATGTGAAAAAGTAATGAAATAAATATAAATATTATATTGACATTATTGTACCTAATTAAAATGTTAATACAAAAATCTATAATTGCCAAAAATCTTAATCTTACAAAAATCCACAAAACGTTAAATTTCATATCACCTCTTCCAAAGTGAGTGCCGAACGATTTAGAATAACTTCAAAAACAAGGAAAAGTAATAAAATAAATTTTCTGGCAAAATATAAATATTATATTGGCATTATTGTACTCATTTAGAAAGTTGATACAAAAATCTGTAATTGCCAAATATCTTAATCTCAACAAAAATCGACAAAAAGTTAAATTTCATCTCACCTCTTCCAATGTCGGTGCCAAACGATTCAGAGTAACTTATAAAACGAGAAAAAGTAATAAAATAATTTTTGTGGCAAAATATAAATATTATATTGGCATTATTGTACTCAATTAGAAAGTTGATACAAAAATCTGTAATTGCCAAATATCTTAATCTCAACAAAAATCGACAAAAAGTTAAATTTCATCTCACCTCTTCCAATGTCGGTGCCAAACGATTCAGAATAACTTCAAAAACGTGGAAAGTAATAAAATAAATTTTCTGGCAAAATATAAATATAATATTATATCACATTTTTATAATACAGGTTTCGTTATTTTATATATTTGTTCCTTATATAAGAAAATTGAGTTACGCATTTCTTATGAAAAGAATTTTTCTGGTGTTTATTTCATATTTTGGCTAGTGTAGAAAATATTACGTTATTCAATTCTACATTTTGAGGAATGATGTTTTAATTTAATAAAGATCAGATATGAAATCATTAAACTATTTTTGAGACAAAAAATTTTCATAAGGTAAATTTTCAATTATAATGTAAATTCTAATAATATATTGACTTGTTTCATCAAAATAATATATATACACATAAATCCGCTTTTGCTCAAAAAGGCTTAAACTAAAGGAAACTCACTAATTAAAGGGGTTACACCACTGTAGATTTTTCGAAAAACCAAAAAATTTTTTGGGCTAGAAATATACTGTGTACTATATTATATTACATTGACATTGTTGTACTCAATTAGAAGGTTAATACAAAAATCTATAATTGCCAAATATCTTCGTTAAAAAGTTAAATTTTACCTCACCTCTTCCGATGTCGGTGCCAAACGATTCAAAATAACTTCAAAAACGTAGGAAATGATTTAAACAAAATTTCTGACTAAATACCGAAATATGATTGACGTCTGCACCCGACTACTTCCGAACTCGTAATGAATGTTAAAATGGCAACTGGCAACATAGCACCTAATGTTCTCGGTTCTCGTTCGGTTCGTGTTCGACTCCAACATCGAACCCAATCATTTTTAAACAAATCCATCGGTAATGTTTTCGCAAAATTATTGTAAATATAAATATAATTGTGCGAACAACAAGCGAACGGATGTTGTTTGGAATTTAAGAACTCCGAACATGTTTTTATCCATTTGTTCCATTGTTTTTGCATCGAACATTTATCTATAATAATGGTAATGATAATGGATCAATTAATACACTTCGAGGTTTCGTAACACCAAAAATTTCCAAAATTATAAATTTCAAAATGTTAACTTGAAAAATGATGTTCTATTAATATAATAATGACTCTGCACGGATCAGAGAGATGGACTCTAAGAAAAACCGACAATTGAAAAACAACTAACGAATCTTTGTTCAGTGACTCACGAAAGAATTCTACTGATAAAGGAATAAGCTACTACTTAACTTGCAGAAGAAAAATATTTAATGAGTGCAGAAAAAGAACTCTACTGACTAGCTATTTGAATCTCACATTGAGAGAAAATCATGAAATATTACGTGGTAATTAGTTTGTCCTGAATTTGAAAAAAAAACTCCATTATTTTTCAAATAAATTCCTAAAATCATATGGTTTTTTGATTTTGGGTGGGAGAGAGAATGTTAATTTTAAATATCACCGGGTATCACCAAGGAGGATCCAAAAATCCTTAAAAATTGATCACTTGATCAATTTTGATTTCAAAATTTAAAACATCTATTTATATAATTTTGTTAGAAACCTTATCGAATGTTATACGCATATTTATAGATGATTTTATAAGCTTTTTAACAATATAATATATTAAAAATATACCTGGTACATATAATAATTATGCTAAGTATAAAAAATGTAACCAATGACTAATATAACTAGATGCAAAATTTTATATTTCACATCTTTTTTTTTACTTAATTTTATTGGGAAAATATATTATACCGTATACACAGATTAGTAAATAATTTTATTAGGTTTTTAACAATATATAATATAATTGTCACATTTTAATTATTTTTAATAAAATAAACGTCGATACAAAAAACCGCAACCAATGAAGCTATGTTATAGAAGCCACGTTTGAATATTTTTTTAAAAATTTTGTTAGAAAGATTATAAAGTTTTACACGCAGATTTGTAGATAATTTTATTAGCTTTCATTTGATACATAATAATATATTTTAATTAGTTTAAAAAACAAAACCACAAAGGTAAATATAAAAAAGTGTCCTTATTTGTTTGAAGTTTACAAACTTAAGTTGAAAATACGTAACACAATGTATCATTAATGTAACATTCTGTACGTAACACAATTTCGTTAATGTGATATATTATTCGTAACACAATTTCAGTTAAGGTGTTTTTTTATTTGATTTTATTAAAGTTTTCCTAGCGTTATAATTTCTAAAATATTATAGGCCTATGAAAAATGGTTAAATTATAAAAAATATCATAGTTTGTAATTATGAACAGCGTCTTTGGAACGTACACCGTGAATGAATCATTGTTAATAACTATTAAGTCGATTAAGGCAAGACTGGCAGATACAAGGGTACTCAGATCGGATCCCGATCGAGTATAGACTTGGTAGAATTTTCCTGAAGAAAAAAAAAGGCAAATATCTTTTTTATTATGCAAAATGCCTCTCAAATGGATCCTGATGAGCAAACTACCTTTTGCGATGTGATGCTAGAGAAGAATAGAAAAAATAAAATCGAAGCAATTGTAAAAAGAAAACGAAACTGGGTTGGGCTGACGTATCTATTGCAAACTCCACTGATGAGCAAAATTAATAAATATAAGGATGATAAGGACAATACTGAGGGGTTGTCCATTAATCATGTGAGGATTACTAAAATCCCCTTTTTAGGAGTTTGACTTAAAATCACAAAATATCACGTGGAGGAAGAGGGATCTAGTAACATATCACGTCTATTTATTTTTTACCTAAATTTGAAAAAATAATTCAAAATTTTTCAAATAAATCCTAATCTTCTGATCTTTTGTAGCTACTAAAAATACACGTGATGTTGGATGGGGGATAGAAGGGTATTTTTAAATATCACCAAAGAGGGAGTCTAAAAATCCTTAAAAATCGATAAACGTTCCCTGATGAGCAAATTATCTTTCTCGGTACTGGAGAAGAATAGAGAAAAAAATGGATGCAATTGTAAAAAGAAAACGAAACTGGGTTGGACACATGCTGCTTTCACAGAATGAAAACAGGAACTCTACTGACGAATAGGATGATCTTCGATATGAAATATAAACTTGTACTCATTTTATACCTCCTAGAAGGTAAAAAAATGACTACTGATAAGCAAACTATATCTCAACATTAGAAGAAAAAACAAGACTCTACTAACAAGCAACGACTAGAGGAAGAATATAAAACTCATGAGCGAGAAATGAGTCTTCATTTGCAATATAGTTCTATATGGATCAGAGACATGGATTCTAAGCACAAAAGCTGCCTCTCTAAATAAAATTCTGGAGAAGAATAAAGAAGATAAGTTGAATCATGTGAAAAAGCACTGCTGAGAGTAGAAAACGAAAAAGACTTCACTTAATATGAATTTGTATTAAAAAGCATGTATTAAAAGATGAAAAAAAGCTTGGGTTGGGCACATGTTTTTTTGAAAACATCTGAAGTTACGACGAGCTGACTGATTTTCGATACAAAATTAGAAAAAAAACTCTACTGGTGAACAAACGAGCCTCGATTTGGAGAAGAAAATCATAAAATGCCACATTGAAAGTATGACTCTGTACGAATCGGAGACATGGACTCTAAGGAAGGACCATAAAAACTACTTGAAGATGTTTCGAAGAAGTAGTGCTGCAGAATAGAGAAGATGAAATGAATGGTATGTTAACAAATCATGAAATACTATTATAAATAAAATGTAGTACTCTCACACCATAGTCCTGCCTTCGGTTTGATCAACATCAATACAAATGCTGAACAAATTGATTAAGAAAATTTAATAATTTTAATAATAGCCATATTATAGGCTCGAATCAATCGATTTATATTCCACAAAGTTTTGTCCATTTATGAAATAAATAAATGAACAATAATAAAACAACAGTTAAGTTCTACTACTTCCCTTTGGTACTGAACCTTAGAACATTTGATAATAATAATATATCAGGTAAAAAAGTAACGGTAGAATATTTTGAAATACTGGTGATTCATAAAGACAAACAAAATTTATAGCAAAAGATTTTCATAATGAATATTGAATATGTTGATAATTAATGATTGTAACATTATTAATATTATTGTTAAGCTAAACTAATAAAATAAGCTTTAAAATAATAAAAACTTACAAAATATGATCAAATGGAGGTTCTAAAAAAATTTAATTTGGACTTGATTAAATAATATATTAATTATGAATAAAATTTGATTTTTAAAATTTTGCATGAATACATATCCCGTAAAATCATAACATGTTGTTAAAAATTTTATCGCAAAACTTAGACAAATAAAATAAATATTAGCAACTAAAAATTCAAATGTTTATGATTATTTTTGTGCATGAAAAAGTTAAAAATGTAGTTAACTATCTGAGCACTCTTGTTATGAAATTATTCCTTTGCAATTATTATTAACAATATTATCTGTAAAATGTTTGTAATCTTTGGAACAAAATATACTCATATTAAAACAAATTCAGACTGATTTTGTATAAATACATCCCTTTAAGTTCAACAATAACATAGTAATAAATTATGCTCTAATAAATGATACCTAAATTCTTCCAAAATTCCCTCACAAAAATTATATGTCATTTATTTTTATGAAATTATTCATCTGAAATAATATTATCTGTAAAATGCCTATGATTTCATGGGGTTCTCTAGGACAAAAAATTATATTAGAACAAATTCAAATATATTTTATGTAAATACATCTCTGTAAATTTAATAATAATACAGTGAAAAGTTAAAAATCCTTTCAAAAAACTAGGTGTAACCAATTTTTATGGAAAAAATCTTTGCAATCTTTTGTAGAATATCAAAAAAATTAGATTTCATAGGTTAGGAGATTGATTCGCATTTTGAACTGGCAATTTATTTAATTGTATAAAAGGGTGTTAATAGCAAATAAAAATTCAAATATTAACAATTACTTTTGTGCGTGGAAGAATAAAAAAATTAGTTAACTACTAGATGACTCTTTGTTATAAAATTGTTGAAAAATGCATGTGATGATTTCACAAAATTATATTATAACAAATTCAGACGGATTTTGTGTAAATACATCTCTGTAAATTTAATAAATATACATTAAACAAGTCTGCCCTAATAAAAATAGTAAATTCGTTAAAAATCTATCACAAAAATTCGGCATCATTCTTTTTTATGAAATTATTTCTTTGCAACTATTATTATTAACAATATTATCTGTAAAATGTTTGTAATGGCATGGGGTTCTACAGGACAAATAATTGTATTATAGCAAATTTATACTGATTTTGTGTAACTACATCCCTGGAAATTTAATAATAATTTGTGATCTAACAAGAAATACTAGAATTTGTTTTTAGTAAAACTAATTTTATGAAAAAAGCTTTGCTGTTCTTCTGTAGAGAACAGAACAGGAGTTTGACTCGCATTTGAAACTAGGAATTTATTTAACTGTATAAAAGTTTGTTATTAAATAAAAATGTATGTAAAATGTACATGAGAGAATAAAAAATGTAGTTAATTTACAGCAAGTAGAGATAAGAGTACCATAATAAAAATTCCATTCAAAACAAATATGATAAAAGATGGGATGCAAAAATTAAACACAAGCAAAATTTAATTCGGAAAATTTATTTTTGAAATCTTGTAAAAACTAACCAATATCTTTAAACAAAATAGAATTCTCTATTTTTAGTTTGTGATAAGTAAATATCCACGTATAATTTTATCATTTCGAAATATTGAAAAACAAAGAAAATACATCCAGCATACGTATTGCAATATATAAGCTGATTAAATATAAAAAAATGAGTTTGTGCTTGCTCATTGTATATATATTCAAGAAAGTTGTC